TTTATACAATTCAGAACGACTGCCCAAAAGTGACTGACCTAACCAGAAACTGTTAGGAAGTCGTTCTGAATTCGATGAATATCAGTAGAAATCAATAAACTTTTGGTTTTTGTTGGTGTTTGTAGGATTCGGAGTGACTGCTTAGTAGTGTCTGAGATATTTTTCTTTATTATTTAGAAGAAGTTGTATTTATTTTTCGTATTTTTAGATAAATTTATATATGTTTTTATTTATTAATATTATTTATGTATGTTTGTGACGCGACCCCATAAGCCTCTGGCTTAAAATAATTATTATTATTATTATTATTATTATTATTATTGCATTTCTCTGAAGATTTGAAATTCGACTGTCCCTGAATTGCTGGTCTCCGCAAACTCACTTTATCAGCTTTTGCTCATGCAGAGGGAGAGCCTTAGCAGTAACTGACAAATGGTTGCAATTGCACTGAATTACAACTTTCTCAACGGTTGTAACTTACAACTTAAATTTGTGACTTTACATCTAATACGTCCTCTGGGAGTTAAGGAACGTAATTTTTAAGGTTGGAAAATTGAAGAACCCAAAGTGAAGCATGCAAATAAACCGATAGCTAAGTATTAGAAAAGATTTTTTTTCAAGTTCATATTGAGGTGTTCGTTGTGTCCAAGGCTAAGCGATCTGGCCTGCAGTGTTTCAAGCAGACAAAAGAGAGCTTACTTAGGGCTAAAAATGTGATAAAATAAATATCTGACATATTTTGAAATGCAAACACTCGCTATAGACAATTACAACAACATAAGCTAACAGACTGAATGATTTGATTACCTGTGGTTAACTTAACATTGGTAGAAAACGAAATTGAATCAGTGTTATCTTGTTACGACAAATTCAGAAGGAACAGTTCGTAGGAAAGACCATTGATGAAGCTTTTGCTTTATAATGCTGTTCATTACTTGCGCAAAAACAGTAATAACGTTTTTGGTCCTCTGCAAACCTTTAATTTAGACAAACTCCATTTCTTTAACAAACGAACTCCTTCTGACTTCCGGCAAATCAAGTGGCCTTGTGAGCAGGCTTTTTTTTTGCCATAGTGCTGCTTAACAGATTAAAAGAATACTATTAGATTTATATTCTGTTTTTCAAATCTGTATAACTAAAACCCACTGTGTTATCAGAATATTAATCCCCATCCTACCCTGGATAAAGTATTTGAAAAAAGGATTTTGCACACGTGCTTTCTATTCGTTACCTTCTCCGATTCATCACACATCTGTGCAGCAAAGCTCATGGTGCACGAGTTTTCGTAACCTAAACGGATTATCTTTGACCGTTTCAGCACGAGTTTATCTTAAGAGAGCAAACCTCACGAAAAGAGAAGAACCCAGAAGTTACAAGATTGTCGGATCAGACGGATTATAAGTAAAGTTTATCTCAAATTCATCAAGTTGTCTTTGAAGCCTCTAATAAACTGTAACGGTATTAATGGATTTTTGTTTGGTGTGTGATGCAAAGCACTCGTATCGAGATCTTATCGTAGGGAACTCTCTCTAATTACAAGAAAGTTTGAAAGATTGCCGCAGTGCATTGATAGAGATGCTCTCGATGTAAAGGTTCATTTTTTCCGCCAGTATAAGAGTGTCATTCGAATGGCAAAAGGCTGAGACTCGGAGAGAAAAAGAACGGAACAACAGATTAATACAACACGTTAGTTCAATTGTTTGTTATTCTTGTTCTTTAGTAAACAACCAAAATTAGCTTCGGTCCCATCTGAAGTGTGTTAAAAATTTATTCTTTTAAACAATTTTGTCGTATTGTTCTAAATATCTAAGGGTCACATACGACAGAAACAATTACGAATTACAACCTATCATTTTATGTCGCAGGAAATTATGTTTTTCAATTAAAACTGATCATGAAGAACAAAAATATATGTACAGCAATCATTTATAAAAAATACTCTTTTGGTTTTTCTGTGTTAACAGTTAAAAGTTGGTTAATCCTTTTTACCTTTTTCTTCATTCCACGTGAAATTCCAGTGGGGGAGCCGTTCCGCTTTTGTTATGAGTTTTATTACATATCCGCAGGGAGCAACGGCATGTGAACCGTACCGTTATCTAAGGCGCTTACTAAAAATAGCCACGAAATTGAATTTAAGCCAAGGGTTTAACTTGGGAGGAGCAGTACTAGAAAAGGTGCTTCCATAGAGCATAAGTTGGAAAGGCATATTAAAATTTCTCCCATTACTCTACTTCTCACGCATGCTCGAGAATTTTCAAAGAGCTCAAGGCTAAAATTATGAGTTTATATTTTCCTTTTGTCTTTGTTTTACATACCTTCTGTAAATTAGCATAGTGGCATTATCCTATTAGTGAAAAAGGGTTCTTACGTCCAAAGCCTCTTGATATTATTGGCTATAATGTTTAACTTTGTTTTCATTTATTATTTCATTTCATCATGGGTAACCTTCGCGAGTCATTCCATACGTAAGTCAAGTTTCCGTTTTCCACAAACAAAAGCTAAAAGCAGGCAAAACCACGCGCTCTTAAATTCAACGTTTATCCTCTGACCAGCTTTAGCTCTAGGGTATAGACAGATCCAGTGTCTCCGTGTATATGTATAGAACAGAGCCGCCTTTCTTGAGCGCCTTGTGAAGCTGAAAAAACCTGCGCCTCCACCGGTCACGCTAGCGTGATATTTCAAAAGCAGTCTGCACGCAATATGTCAATTCTTTGATGGCGTGTCTCTTCATAGCAAGACGCATGTTTGGACACAAAAGAGAACACCATCCACTCTGGCAAAATTTCGCGCACGATTAGCTTTTTTTGTGAAATTTTAATTACACGTCCTTATGGAACATGTGCGCTTAAGGTCTATCATCTATTATTAACTTCGATTTCACCTGCATTTTAGGCAGTTCATCTGCTCAATTTACAGGTTTTCAACATTCTTGCGTAAGTGGTGAAGATGTCGACAGCATCTAACATCCTCGTTTCAGTTAACGGAGGAGTCAACATTTTTACAGTTGAATTCAAGCGCACGATATCATACCTTATTCACCAACCTACCTCTGTGGAGGTCATTTTGCATCGCAGCAATTTTGTTCCCTTTCATCTAGCTATGTAGAGTCTTAAGTTTTAGGAAAATCTTAAATCATGAGAATAGGCGATATGTGGAAAAGCGTTGATCCTATTGTTTGAAAATTCAATATTTTGCGTTACTCAACTTTTCCCAATTTAATTTTTTTCAGATTCCTTTATAAAGTGCACTCACATCGAAGGGGCAACATAGTCAAGCGTTGCAAGAAACGTGTGTTGACGAACACACGTTTCACAACTTCATCAAATAAGACTGAAATAGAGTAGTGAAATAGATGGTAAGCTGGTAGGATAGTGGTTGTAGGCAAAAAAGATATAAAACTACATCTACGAAGAAATTTTAAGAATATTTTGGGGAAACCCATGAAGCAAATATTCTTGGGATACTCGTCTCTGCCACTCGTATTTTCTTTCACGTTTATCGATGAAAGAAGTACAAGTGGTAGGGAGGGGGTGTCACCAATTCGCAGTTGTCATTTGTTGGACTCCTATCTAAACATTAAAATACCTTAAAGGAGCAATGACTGACATGGTATGATTCTCTCTGAAACATTGCCGTTATTACTATTTTTTTTCTTCAAGATCCATTTGAAAGCTAAAAATAACCTAACGCCACAATTGCGCAATAAGAAAATATGGAAATTTTACTTGTAAATCTCCGTTCGATCAGACATTGAATCTATGACGGTCTTTTGTATTTTGTTCCCATAATTGCATAAGTAAGGCCAAATATTTCCACTTTTGTCCGTTTTACTGCAAAGAGAAGCATAAAATCTAAGACTGTCGAGTGCCTAATTCCAGTCTTGGGTTAATTGTACCAGGAAATATTAAAAAAGGGAATGATGCTAGCGTAGAGCACCAATGGGATAAATAATCAATGACCCGTTTACACAAAACGACTCAATGAATTTTTCAATAATTTTCTAGTTTCCTGCCTGACAGGTAACCTCACTTAAAGCTAGAAGTGCGAAGAGCATATGGCTTTTGAAACCCAGTAATATTGATAAAACCCTGAGGCCAAAATTTTTGCCTATTATCTGTAGGGAATTTAACACTTTTAAAGGGTTTTGTTTTAACCACACGTGAAGCAGCAATCATGTTTACAGTATTTAGGTCCATGAAGTTTGAAAATGAAGAAGCTTGATAATTGTTACCTCATGCATTTTTGAGAATTCTGGGTGTCGTGTGATACTTTAAGGGTTTAAACCGCTCAAGCCCTAAGAGTCACTAGCAGCTAATTTCTCCTCAAAATAATCACAACTAAGTAAAAAATGAAGGTCAGGAAAATAAAGGAAATAATCACCAACGGAAGGATCTTTTGACTCTTCTTGTCAGTATCTTGGAAAATGTGCAGAGAACAGTGTTGAAAATATTCACAATGTAAACACTTAAGGGCGTAAAGGGTTAAAACGGAGTGGATGATAAGTCCGTTTAGACTTCATCAGCGTGATCAATTAGAGTGATCTTATCCTAGTTCATGGCCAGCAATTAGCACCAATTACCACGCGCGTTTTGGGGGTAACGTGGAACGTGAACTCTATTTAATAGTGCAATTTTTTTTTTGGGGGGGGGGGGGAGGGGGGGAAAGAGGGTCATGCTACGTATTTTAACCAATGTCCTTAAAATAATACATTGAAGTGACACTATCAATAAAATGTCTCTCGTGCGTTCTTACCCACACAGTTTGTCAGTCAAGTTTTATCGAACTCCTCATAAATTCATCTAGTGCGTTAAGCTGAGTTTGCTATTTTGGATGCTACTAACGCTATGCACATTATTTGGGACCCCATCGAGTAACTATCCCTTTTTTTCTTACTCTTAAAATGGGTTGAACCACAGCGAAGAGTAACCCTTTACCCGTGAAAAGTTTGTAGGCGTTTACATGACTTGCATGAATTACATGGACAAACAGTCCCCTGACAAACCCTGATCCTGCGAAACATGATTAAGGGCGGCTTTGCGCGCAAGAACGCACCCCCGAGAGAGAATAAACAGAAGGCGGCGCGGTCGCGCGCGAGCGCGAGAATCCCGAGGACATGGTGAGCTTGAACTGGGCCTGGAAACCACCAAAATCGGTGTTTTGCCTTGAAGCAACACATGAAATTCGTGGCACACGTAACCAGGATGCCGAACGATGCACCCAGAAAATGATGTGCTTCGCCCAACGACGTAATCAACCAAGTCACTGGTCAAGACTGGCAAAAACTGTAGGCATCGAGGCTATGCAACTTCGCAAAACAATGTATGACAAGACTGAATTCAACGAGTGGATCCACGATCGCAACGAAGGTGCCACACGCTCTTCAAGTATGAAAAAATCACGCACATGGAGAAACCCTATGATGATCGAACATGGGTAGTTCAGCTCATGGTCTCTTGAATCGAGTCTTGGCCTGTTTGTGTAATTTACGACAGAGAAAAAAATAATTTCTGTCCTCAGTGATTTAATTTCTTCTCAAAAACATAATAGTCTCGCCCTTAAAATTAACTGACGGTCTTCCAACATAACGACACTGAACCTGGTATTTCTAACGTTGATTGGTTATAACAAAGTTAGAAGATACACACATCGATCAACTTTTGTGGTAATATTTTTATTTGACTCTTTAAAACGAAGTTCGTTCATTCAACATTCGTTTGGGAACTTAACAAATTAAGCACTTTCAGTCTGTTTCATATAACATACCCGAAGTATATAAAAAATATTTGATTTGTCAAAATTGTCAGTATGCAAAATCCAGACACACGACATACAATAACAACCCAATTTGAAGCAAACGTGACACAACTGATGCATTGAAGTTCTCAGCGAAGATACCAATGAGTTATAAAAAAATATATCAGTATTGGCAAAACTTACTGAACTTACCTGGAAACGATTCAAAAGGTATAAGGCTCCTGACATAATTTGCATGAAATTATTCCAAAACCTTCCACAATGGTAAACGTTTAAGACTCTTAAACAACTTACTCATTCGAGATTAGTTTAGAATTATCTGTAACAAGAAGGTGAATTTGTGGTCTCCATACCCTAATAACAAATTTGCCACCAGGAGACTTCCTAAATCTTGTTATATACTCTCAAAAAAATTAATTGAAGCTAATTAAAAGCAAAATCTGGAGGGCTTGGAGTATGGAAGCAGAACAATGTCACTTAAGCGCCCTAAAATTTTGTTCTGACCTCAATGATGCATTCCAATTTCACCTTCAACCCCATGACCCAAACCTCTTACCTATGAACTAACTATAATTTTTGCCTATAAATATTTTCTGTAGTTTTGTTTGATCATTGAAATGCCACTTCTCAATGACTAAACTGTATCTAAGCTGAATGCCAACCTACTCTTAGTCAATGCATGCATCAAGAATACCTTATTTCTATAGAGATCCAATTTGTGCTCTTTATAATGGATGGTTAATATCTACACTATTCTTTGCAGTTATGTACACTATACAACTGGAAATCTCATTGGAAAACCAAAATAATGAATTTTTGAGGTAACAAAATAATTTATAATTATAATAGCAATAATAAATAGCTCTCGTTGTAAGCAATTTTTGCATGTGCTATAGTCTTGAAGTGATTTGTAATAATACGCTTACTTAAACATAGCCTCTTAAAAGTTCTTTTAGTGTAATTTCATTGAAATTAAGTTATTACATATGTATCTTTAAATTTGCATGAGTGACCATTATAAAAGCAACCTCCTGCTCAATAAATTAAAGAAAATATCAAAATTATTCGAAAAAGAAGACCAACTCTCTCCACAACAACCCCTACATATGGTTTAATAACGAAGTTCGGCTGCAAACTAAATGTACTTTCATGCTGGTCATCAATGTAGTGTGACACATTCAGACTTGAACACTCCACAAAAAGGAATTCTCCCTATGAAACTTCAATAAAAAAATATTCCTACCAACATTGTTAAAATTCTCGCCAGCTGCGGGCTTCTAAGATCAGCATTAGAAAAAACAAGTCATTTCTCTCAATTCCATCATCAGAGACCCAAACATAGAAACTGCTATCCATCAGACCCCAATGAATCCCAGAAGGCATTTTGATTTGCCAGTCTCTGATTAATAAGGTCTAAAGCACCTGAAAACACAAATCCCCACTTTTGAAAAGCAACTTTGTACCTAACTGACATTCTGGACACAGTATTGATTTCAGAAAACTTCAAGTTTTCATACTTTAGGTGTGCTTTGTTCTTCAATTTAGCACAGTTTCTTAGCTGGAGCCTTGCTTTCTTCCCTTTCTTCATTGAGGAATTTTGAACTGTGCATCTAGCTTTACGTTTCTTTACTTTTGGTGAGGCTAGAATGGTACGTGAGACAGAAGCATTAACGAGGGATTTTTCAGAGTAGTCATTTACAACTCTACGCCCAGAATTTGTGAACCGTCCTCTTTTACAAAGAGTAAAACCTCCTCCACCATATGGTTTTAATTTTTCCTTAATGTCCTCCACCTTGACAACAAGATTCCCAAGTGGATTTGGAGACTCTCTCCTAAACACAATTCCATTGGAAAGTGATGACTTTTTCTTACTCGCAGCAACAGCTTTCTCGTGAAGAGGCACAAGCTTTATTTCAGGAGAGAGAAGGCTAGTATTTGAGTTCATAGGTTTTTGCCTTTTTCCTGACAAACATCTTTCATTTGGGGCCTCAACTTCATTAGGAAAATTGTTCAAAATAATTGATTCATTTCCATCTGACACTGGACTTGATGGAGGAGAATAACTGCTGAGGTCAAAGGATAAATTTTCACAGCCACACACGGCATTGTCATTAGATGAAACAACACTTGAAGGAAAGACACTTTCATCCAGATGCCATCTAGAATCACTTTGCCCAGATACAACTGATGTCATGGACATTTCCTCCTGTGAAGGATCTCTTTGTTTCTTATGTAAAATAGACACAAAGAGATAAAATGAACATTAACCTTTTAATCCCTGAGACTAACTGACATCTTATCTCCTTAAAGTTTCACCCACATTAAGGTCATGAGAATAAAGGAAATGATCATCAACTTATGAAGCTCTTGATTGTTAAAAAATCCTTTTCCAGTAACACAGGAATTGTATACAGAATGGTATGGACAATATATGCCTACTGACATTAAGGTGTAAAGGGGACAAAGAATAAAATTCCAGGGATGTGATTTCCTTACTATGCATTTGTACTTTTTTGCTTCAAAGTACACCATTTTTATCCAAGATAAACAAATGTAGAAAAAGGGATAAAAATGGGCTCAAGGGGTGCCTCTATGCTTGCACAGCTAGAACAAAGCAGCACCAAAGAACCAAATATTTCAGTCCATTGAAAAATCAGATGATAATTACATGATTGATACTTACCAAATTATTTTGTGAAAAGTGTGAATAGTTATTCACCCTTTCTGACTCAGAAGATGGAGAATCATCAGTCATATCTGACATTGTTTCACTACATTCAAGATGAATGGGAGTACCAGTGGATCCTGATCTGTCCCACATTATAGGTGTGAGGTGTAGTGAGGCAGTAAGTTTTTTACCAGCAGAAGTATGTGCTGATTCACTTGAGGATGATGAAGCCACAGAATTTCTTCTCGCAGTCACCAAAGACTTTGAATAAACAGATTCTGTGTTACCATGACTCACTTCTGATAAACAAGGAAAGTCCATAGGAGATATTTGGCTAACAGAGTCAGAAACTGTACCATCATCAGTTAGAATATCTTTGGCAAGCATACCAAGTTCATTTGTGTAGTCATTTGATGTAACTGAGGTGATGGCAGTGTCAGCATGACAATGCTTTCCAAGGAAAGGACCCTGAGATGGTGGTACAGTCCAAAGAGGATTTCTAGCTTTGTTAACATTAAGCACACTGCTATTTCTTTTCCTCACAAACTCTTCATATTGTTTCAATGCATTTGAGGGAAGTTCCTTTTGCGACATTGGCACAAGGCATACTTTGGCACTCAACCTCTTTTTTTGATTCATCATTCATATCTTTTCGATAAAGCTACAGCTGCAAATTAAATAAATAGAAAGACATAGGGTAAGTAGCACATATCAAAATTTTTGAGAGACATCATCCTCTTTAAGCCAGGTTTATTAAACAAAGGGCATTCATCCAATAGGGGCATCTAATGCAAACTTACCAGCATAGGTAGCATTTCTTGGACAAGAGGCATTTATCTGAGAGGGAGCATCTACCAGATCGTTTACAGCACCGTAATTCTTCAAGTATAAACGCTTTTGTTAGAACATAGTAAAGCAATGGAACAGCACACTATTAGTCTCTACTCTTGGTCTGTATTCCATATACTTTAGTCCCACAAATGTCCTATTTTGCTCGGATGACAAGTAAACTGGTAAATTATGCGATCAGGAACATGGGTATTCCCTGACTGTAGGAGATTTGTGAATTACTGGGTATGCAATAGCTCAATCTGTGAGCTACATACGAAATTGCATGTTCGTGTAAGGTTCAAGACCATGTGGATTGCCTTCAGCCATTTCCTTCAGCGTTCTCCGCAATTCGTTTCAGAAAGCTGTTGGGTTCGCGTCCGTGCACCTAAATCACGATTATTTAAACATACGATATCTTTGTTAATTAGGTTAACATCAGGTTAAGCATGTTTTCAAGCATCGCAAAAAAAGTACGCATTACCTATCTTATAGCTCAAAATCTCAACTGTTTTCACTAAAAATCCACTTAATATCACTGGAGAAACGATTTTTATGACAGAAAGAAACACAAACCATTAATACGAATGAAAACAACGACAGATTTTCGAGTTTGGCGTTCAGAATATTCACTACAATTATACGGTCAGCATGGCCATCATTTCATTCCGGCAAGGTTTCTACGACTTTCTAGTACAGTAAATTCTCAGGGGCCTTACCTTCAACGTGAAATAGCCAGAAAGAGTTCAGCTAAGACGGCTACATTGATGCGGATGTCAGGAAAGCATGCAATCGAGGGTGACGCTATATCGAAGGTGTTCGTCGAGGGTAAGAGTACACGGTAATTTTGGTCAGCGGGAAAATTATGAAACCCGCGAATATTGCGAAAGCCCGCGAAAGGATGACATCTAAAAACTGAAGACAATTTTTGATTAAGACATTAGAATGCGTAATGATGGCGGTGACTAATCATTCTTCTTTAAATAAATCGGAGATTGACTTCCTTGAGGAAAACCTTGAAAATTGTTCTGTTGAAAACCAGTACTTCTTGGGTTATTTCGACGGGATAAGAGACGAGTTCGAGGATACGCTCGAGAGGTTTCTTTTTATTAGTTCCACATGCTTTGAAAAGAAGGCCTTGAACTCAAAGGAATTAAATCACAAGAGGTTTTCGAAAAATGGTGAGCAGTTTCTTTTATTTTTAGCTAATTTTTTTGCCTTTATCAATTCGGTGTGGGCCTTGTAGAGACTTGATCTTTTGCCGCAATTTTTAAAAACTTATGCAATGCACCAAATATTCAAAAGTATTTCATATATAGGAAAGCCCTTGGAAAACGCTCTAAGTGCGTAATCTAGTATACCTAAATACTTTTTCAAATTATGCATTTGCAGCTTCTCCCGTCTTTGAACACAATGATGGTAATGTACCGATCCAATTTTTTTGGAAAACAGTGTTGACAAATTGTTCGTATTACTTAAGTAAAAAACATTGAACTTCTCTCAACGGACTAAACGCTGCAAGGAGAATCTCTCTCATAATTTACTTTTTAAGAGACGACATTACCGTCTAAAATTCAAACGTTACTGTTAGGGTTATTAGCGCATTGATAACCTCGCAAATAGCTCAAACATACTGAAAACATTTTTATTAGTTTTTGTATATCTTTATCTGTGAGCCACATGTCAGTAAACAAAAACAGAGAAGTATAGTTTGATGGCTTGTTTTCATGAATCTAGGATTTTGGGAATCGCTATAAACTACGCGATCACGCATTTAATATATTTCTTCTTCTCCTAATGATTGATACTGGAAGAAAATGGTAACGGTGTGATGCTATTTTATGTGCCCGTTATGACAAAAAAATTTGTACTTGCATTTAGCTTACAGGTAAAATCCCATGAAAATTGTTTAAAAGAAATATATCTCAGTGGTTATTTTATGACAACCACAAAATACTTAAACAAAATTAAGAAACTGCCGCAGAACCTCAAAGCTCCTTTGTTCACAACGATCTTGAACAATTCTTTTTTGAATTTTTAGTGGGCAACAAGTGCCGGAAGCTTACATGACTTATTTTAAATTTAACCGCTGTACTATAAGCTTGTGTGTTCGACCCTTGACGAACGCCTTCGATATAGCATCACCCTGCAATCGATAGCTCTGCCGCGAACAGATCACTGAGTGGTCCCGCGTTCTCAATTTGCAGCGGAGATTGCAAATAGAGATATACACGCATTTATGCCTCTGGTCGTGTTCAGAGTAACTAAGGTCTTTTTATTTAAACAAAGTTTAGCTGTTGTTTAACAAAACCGCGTCCTAAACATTCCTAAATTTAGTTGAACCTTTAATCTGACATTTATTTTGTAAACAGCGTCAAGAGGGCCGAAAACTAACGATGGAAGGACATTTATTTCATTACATAAACGCTCTTATATTTAGCCGAGAAAGCCTGAGTACCAGGCGTAAAACAGCGGGCCCTAAGGGTCGAATAAGTGCTACATACAAGGAATAAAAAAACTCGAAAAAAAAATTTGAATCATGGTTTTCGACATTGTCATGCAAAAAACTTCCGATCACTTAGCACAGAATATTTAAAGCACAGGATGTCTCTTTGCGCGCTTCTGCTTAACTGAAAGGCAGTAAATTGTCGGCTCACTTAAGCACGCCTAGAAAAATTGAACTTATCGAAGAGGAAATGGAGAGATCGACTGAGAAGAAGGTTACTCGTTGACGCCTTGGGTTTTGTCAGTTCTCCTCAAGCTCAGTTCATAGATAGTCTCTACGATAAGAGTCTGAGGTCCGCATGTAGCCTTACCTCGATCTCAGTTATTTTCTGGAAAAAGGTAATAAGATGGCGGATCGCTTGGAGTGAAATTCTGTCGCTGAAAACTACGGAGAATAAGAAGGAAAAGCGCATTTATTGAGCAAAGATTCGCGGTGTGAACTTGCGACGAAACAGACTACTATTTTCGTCTTAAACAACAAATTACTTCAAGGGAACCGACAAACCTCAGCCAACGCCCAGATATTCACTACCACTCCCATCGTTATCTCTTGTCTAGGCTGAAACGTGCTTAACCGGCATTTTTTCTCTCATCGTGCTCTTTCCATTTTTGTATTCAACATGATCATTTATTAAGACCAACGCCGCCGAGTACAAGTATTTCCCTAAACGTACGAGCTAGAGGAATTAACTGATGCGAATTCATGCCTCCCTGAATTCCCCTTAGAAGACAGAGTTCTCCACCAGTGGATTTTGCTCAGTTTTTCGGTGTCTTCGCACCAGTCCCCCAAAAAATCGTTACCAAACGTATTACAGGTTGTGGTTGAGTTGTGGCAATTACGCTTGAAGAACTTTACCATAAATAACAGGAGTTCTTTTTCATTCTATTAAATACCGGATACTGCATTGACTTTGAGTTTTCCCAGACCGAGTCATACGAAACAGACAGACTGTGGCGCTTATTATCATTATTGAAATACAAATGCAATTTTCTTAATTGGTTTTTACTTCGAGATAAAGCCCTGAAGAAAAACCATAAACAGGTAAAGATTTACTTCGTGTTCAAGACAGGTAAAGGCACCCGCTAATGTGGACTAAGCCGTGTCTGTGATGAATAAAATCCCTGTTTAAAACATCCCAAACATTTGGCTTTTTGATATGTTCACTAAATGGAACACCTTGCAAGGCGCTGTTGGATATCATTGTAACTCGGACTAAGTGATGGTCGGAGACTATTAGAAAAAAATTTCCGGGCACGTGTGGTACTCCACAACCATGCGTTGGCGAAGAAATATTTTTATTTTCCTCGTATCATGCCTTCAGATTTTCCTTTTTGCAAGTGTTTTTTATCTTTTTAGGAATTGCTTCAAAAAATCGGACTTAACGACTAAAGGAGTAGTAACAGAAATTGGTCAAAGGGAAACGGACCGAGTCGGTCCTTCATTCAAAATGGTGCAAGCAGCATACGACAAGATGTCCTCGTTAGTTCACTTTCCGACGCAAAAGCAGACATTACACCTAAGTGGAAGTGTTGACAAGAACGAAACGGGTACGTTTTTAAGAGCGGAGGCGGATAATACTTTAAGGGAAGAGAATGAAATTTATCTTATGAGGAGGAAACACAAAAAGACAAGATTAAAACTCATCGTAGCCATTCTCAGCGCACCGATACGATTTGATCGACGGGAAGGGATACGACGAACTTGGATGAACCAATGTTCATCGGAAGAAGTCGTATGTCGTTTCTTTACCGATAGCTTATTCGACATGGAACCGAACGTGCGAAGTGTTCTTGTCAACGAAAGCAACCAATACGGCGATCTGGAATTTATGCCAATTCCCAAGGGATATAACTTCGGACTTCGGCTGTTATGGTTGATGGAATGGTCTGCGGAAAGATATGAGTTTGACTTCTTCTTGAGAATGGACGATGATTACTTCGTCTGCTTAAAAAGACTGTTGTTCGAGATCCCCTTCAGGCCTCAGAAAAGGTAAGAACATACTTACACCTAGACTGACTTGCTATGCAATACGAGGATTTTCGGTGTAACTTAGACTCCCACCTAGTTTAGTAGTTAAAATAGGTTCTTGTTTACTTGTTCACAGCTGTTACATTATTATATGAGAGTACAGTGCTTTTCTCCCGGTATGTTAGCAAACCATAGAGTTAATGATTTTGTAACAGCATACGTTATCTTGTGAATGAACCGTAAACGATTGAATCATTTCATGTACGTTTATCTCGTAAACGATTCTGAATTCCCCTTGACAAGAAAGTCAAGTAACTTGTCATAGTTATAAAAACTATTTTCCTCGAAAAAGCCATCACTTGAATCCTCAAATTTTAGGAGATGATTTGCGTTGAAGGTGTTATGAAACTGGTTTTAAATAAATCAAAATTTCTATAAACGGAGCATATGAAGTGGAGAAAATAATCCAAAATTTCTATATCAAACAGGAACAGGTACCAGCCAATTTCCTAGGTTGTGTTTACTCTTTCCGTTGATCTCTTGAGCTTTTGATCGCAGAACGGGTACTTGATAGATTTGTTTTGACAATATAAAACTAATAAAATTAGAGAGATGAAAAAATATTAAGCTCTCATCTACTTCAAGAGACTAAGAGAGAGAACAAGAACTGGGTCATTTCATATCCTCTTACACTAAGCCGTAAGCGCTCTTACGACTCAAACTAACTAGACTCAAACTCATTGGCCCCAGTCGTCTTCAAAACGTGTGCGGCGCTCAAGTCTGGAAGAAAGGCTCCCATGCTGACCGGGTCGTTTAATTGCGCCTTTGAAGACGACAGGGAGCGAGTTAGTGATTAGCCGCAATAATCTGGCGCTGTCAAAAAGCTCCCAAAAGAGGGTTCAAGTGTTTCTCAGAGCACACAAAATCACACGAAAAGGGCCCCGAAAAGTTCTTAGGTCTTTTGAGAACCGCGTAGACCTCTTTTCCTTTGCTTAGCACTTACAAGTTTTTACTGTGATTTCCAATTTGCGTTTTTTATACAAAAATCCCTTCATAATGAAGGTTGTAGCCAATCATGTTTTTTTTCCCATACTTTTAGACTATATTGGGGTTATGTTCACTGTGAAGTGGAAGGACTGGTACGAATAGACGAGGGTTTCCTCCTATTATCAGAAGACTTGGTATTGGAGTTTACGCGCAAGAGAAATAAGTTGCTTTGTCATCCGTTCGGTGATCAAACAGTCGCGATATGGATGAATGATGTTAAAAATGTTATTTTCTTTCATGATCCTCGAATATTTCACGACGTATCCGCGAAAGTTCCCGAGTTCAAGTCTTTTGATAAAATGTGTTTGAAGTACATCAGTCTGCATGGATCTTATTTGCACGAAATGTTGCTCTATTGGGAGACCTCTTCAAAAGAAAATCATTCTACTTTTTGGGTCCCTTCCATTCAGCCAATCAGTAACCTATGTCCGTTAAGCACGCGTTTTGATTGGCGGGCCATGGGAGGCCCTCCTTATGGTTATGAACCAAAACCGTGCGTGCTGAAACCTCTCTGGGACATTGGAAGCATGCATCGAGGAAGGAACATGATGTAAGGACCCTTCATCCCAAAGAAATCGAAGAACAAGACTAATGTGGACAATATTGATCAAATCATAATAAACGCAGAAAACCATACACAATTTGATTCGGCTTAAACAGGTCCACTTTGTATTGACCAATCTACGGTTAGCGCTTGCGGTTTAGTTTTTCTGACGCCTTATTGATTACTTTTTGAAAAGAAAAGCATACTCTTCCCTAAATGTCTGTTGTAGCCAGTCTCAGAATTTATCGAGATAAAGTTAAATCAATCATAAAAGAGTTAATGTCTAATTAGGAAAACCAAATTAATGGCCTGTACTTTCATAGTGACTTTTAACAGCTAAATTACGCGAACGGCAAACATCAAGATATCACGTGACATACTTCTTGATGCGTGATTTGAAGTTTGCAGTCCACGTGTGAACATCAGAAATGCTCTTTTGCGGTAAGTGATTTACGACTAAGTTTTTCTCACACTTTGAGACTCAAAACTCATGTTCTATGCTCTTATTTAATTCCTGTATTACCTGAAATACCGTCTAGACACACAAGTTTAATTGGACACTTAGAGAGTAGACAGATTATAATAGTTTGATTTGGTGTGTGTAAAAGCGTTCTGAAATTCTTACAAACATGGCGTTTGGAAACCTTTGCATGTCCTTCTATTGACAGATTTATTGACTAAATTTACACTTTTCTTTGAAAGATGGCTCCTTTTCGATTTGCCTTTTATTTAGCATTCGATGTCGTTAACGTTTGCTAGATTCAAGCGACAACGTCGTTACCGTTATTCAGGAAAAGCTGTACACATCGTCAAAACAGCGAGAGGACCCAATTAATTATGGAACCAATGTCTAGTGGTGGGTAATAAAGAAATGCAAAGTGCAAGCATACGGCAAACTGTAAACTGCAAGCCATAGTCTGCCGTCCGCGATTGTTTTCTATCTCAATCTTTAAGTCTCTTATTTATTTACTTCGTGAAAAGTGTATGGAAACATGCAAAAGAAAGGCAAGTTTTCTACATTCGATTTCCACGGTGGTGTCTTTTTATAATGATAAATTTTGCAAAATAAAATTATTTTTTACATAGTCAGTATTTTTGAAAGAATATCATGACTTCTGGTATGCACTTGAAGTGTTTGCTAATCTATTTCTAGTAGTAGTAAAATATTTCTATACGATTGTTTTAAAATCACTGTATTTGCAGTCATAAATGTAGCTTTTTTTAAATTAAAGTAACACATATCATTCGCCGGAAAAAAATCAATCTTTAGTCATGTTATGTCACTTTTTTCCAATTTTGATCTTGGTGATCTTGGTCACAGTGAAAGTTTCAGCGGTACTGGTATAAAAATTAATACATGTTAAATATGGGGACATATCTAATGTATTCAAGGCACATTATATGGGTACATTGAATCTTCTCACACACATTGCACCTATTAAGAAAACGAATTGCTCCGCGTTCGCCCCCTATCGAGTTCGCCCCTTCGAGTTCGCCCCTACCTTATGCCGTGTTCGCCCCCACACTTTTCGAGTTCGACCCCATCAAGTCGAGTTCGCCCCTTGATTGAGTAATATCCAGATGAGTTGATTTGTGACGAAGACACTAGCAGAATGTGCCAAATGTCACGTCAGCGACGACCATTTTGAATTTCGGCAATTGCGTGGAACCTGCTTGGGAACTGGGTTGACGGAATCAACTAAATACTCTACGTGGGATCTGGGGTTACCAGAAATAACTGTATACACTGAACTTGTGATAAAAAGAACCACACGGTTTATCTAACGAACACGAAATGTGTAACAACCAGACTTGAGAAGATGCAAACCACGCTTTCATCGCGACAGCATTGCTTACGTTGTTAGACTTGTACCCGTTTAGCTTTATCTATGAAATTAAGACTGAAGAATTTACTCATCAACTTACGAATCAACTCATCTGGATATCACTCAATCAAGGGGCGAACTTGACTTGATGGGGTCGAACTCGAAAAGTGTGGGGGCGAATACGGTATAAGGTAGGGGCGAACTCGAAGGGGCGAACTCGATAGGGGGCGAAAGCGGCGGATACCAAGAAAACAATATGGCGGACTCATAGCATTCCGGTCACTAATGTCCTTCCTGTAGTTTGTGTTTTTAAGGGTGTCACTTAACTACCGATCAGCAGACCGCAGAGCTTCCACAACCAGCAAAACTTATGGAACTATTGATTTTTTGTAAAAAATAATAATGAAATAGAATAGAAATTAAAAGCATCTTAACACTGTTTGAGATTTTGTTTTCAGCTATAAAGAAGATAACTTTAAAAGAGAAATGTGCTTATTTCATCCACCTTAACGTTCAACCACAGGACACCCAAGCTCATGCTGTGAATATGCAAATATGTTCATGTTGCACAATGGGTGAAATATAAGGATTTGCATGGCAATAAACAGTCACGCTCTCAATCTTAAAAAGATCTAGATTTGTTTTGAATGAGCACAAATTTATTCTGCCAGAAGCCCCAGTAAAAAGTCTGCTTTGCCACTTAATGATCAGTTCTTTTAATTTCTGGTGCATGTCAAGCAAGGCTTTCCAATTGAAGACTTGGCTGTAAGATTTAAAGTTAGTCTCAGTACATAAGGTAGAGTATTTTTGACAGTGGCAAATTTTCTTTACTTGATGCTTGGTCACATACCCATTTGGCCCACAAAGGCTCTATTTTTTTGTTTGAGGCCAACCTGTGTGATTGTTTCATGCAAACTTGTGTCATCTTGGACTGCACAGAGATTAAGGTGCAGACCCCAAGTTCCAAAGTTTTTCATTCTGAATTTTGCACCACATATAAGAGCCACACCTCCTATAAAGGCCTGGTAGGTATTTTCCCAAATGGGACAGTGACCTTTGTGAGTTCTTTATTCCAGGGATGTACATCAGACAAAAAGGTCATACATTAATGTGGTATTCTTGACTTGTTAGAGGAAGGATCTGAAGTAATAGCAGATAAGGGGTTTTTGATTGAAGACCCTCTAAAAGGGTTGGTTGAAGCAACATCAGTGATTCCTCCATTCTTAGGGAAAAGCAAAGGTTGTAATGTTTCAGGAGGTAAGCTGTTCACAGCATCAGAGGTTTCTAACACCCAAGAAATTGCTAGACTCTGAATACATGTGGAGAGAGCTATAATGAGGATCAAGGAATACAATTTCTTTGATACAGTTCAGCCCCTTGTCTTAGGTGGTTCAGTAAATCAGGTCTGGAGTTTTTGTTGCTTTCTTACAAATCTGGAAGGACCATTGTACTGAGATTAAAAATTTTCTTTCATAATTTTAGGTGTAGTCCTAAGGTCTAGGATAATTAGGATATTGTGGGACTGTAAAAAATAAATGAGTTGTCCTCTAAGAGGTTGACCAGTGCCATGCCCACTTTTATACCAGCTCATATTAAACACTTTAACACTCCCACAAGTGATCAGCATGAATTTTCTCATTGAAATATAAATACTTTTTTAAGAAAACAATTGATGAGAATAACAAAAAATCAGGGGCTAAGGGTTACAGCATTGCTGTAACACCAAATTCTTGGCTTTGATTTGGATCTGAAATTTCTCATTTGAATATCAATACACTATCATGCCAGGCAACAGGAGATGGGATACAAAAATTATTAACTGAGGGTTACTGTGTCACTGTTACACCAAACTCTTGGAATTTATGCTGAAGGAAACATAAATTTATGATTGCATCTAAGGAGTGAAAAAGTTAAGATGGTTGCAGGTACATTGTATTGGCATAATTTTTCCACTAATAACTAAACTGGTAGCCTATGTAACCACTTTATTAATGTCCTGTTTGCATATTTATAGTGTGATGCAAGGGACTGAAAGTATAGCTTCCAAAGTATGCATAATTTTAGTTTCTGGGGCTTATGATAGCTCACGCAACCCCCTACCTTAGGATCTAAATTACATGACCCACCCTAAGGTAAAGACATGCTCACCCCACTTAGCGCTCTGAACAACCCTACCTTATTCATACTGACTAGTCTCTAATTTTTTAATCATAAGTTCAAAATAAAATGTTTCCAACTTGTTCTTCATGGCTCTTAAAATTTCATTGTCTGATCTTATTCTTTCTAAGTAATGGTCATTTTTGCACCAAACAGATAAATGAACCCATTTACTATCTGAGGGAAGCAAGGGCCCATTCTCTTGGTAGTGATAACTGTGAGATTTTTTTAGTTTAAGCACACCATTAACTTCTTTTAGGTATGGCAGTTCCACAACAGTCTGACAAAGAGCATTTTATTTCTAGGGTACCCCATGGATTTTCCTCTCTATGATTGTAAACTCAGCAGTCAGGAGAACATGCCATATGCATGTCAGCATAGCTCATGGTTACACTTTCTTCATCCTCAGATCCATATATAATTGCAGCTGTTTGAACTGTTTTCTTCATGAAGTGTTCCACAAGTGACTCAAAATCTTTCTTACAGCAAAAGAAATCCTTGAAATTACTTGCAATCAATATTTGGGCTATAAGCTTGTGCAACATTAAGTTGTCTGCCTGATTGCGTGTCTCTTTTTCATACAAATTTGCCTGATCAAGAGACAGGTGTAAGCCATCCATGAAGTTCTGCTGTGACATGGTCAGCACAGTGGAATATGCCTGAGTTAAACGAGATAAGATAGATAAAGGAGGATCAGCTGCCTAAATGTTTATGTGCACTTTTGGCCTGTTAGAAAGTTTGACTCTCTGTTGATATGAAAGCAGAGACCCTTTTGGGACATCTCCAAACTTACAACTTACTTAACTGACATCTTTACTTATGGGTATGGCACTGTGGAGCTGTATTGATGGAAAGTTCTTGATTGCCGTCCTCAACTTTTCAACAACAGACCAGTCTCCCATCACTTTAGGAATAAGATTATAGAGATTGGAACTAGTTCCGTCTGACCGTTTTGCAGATGTATACGGCATTTTCACTCTTTGAATGGTAAGTTCTTGAAGGTTACCAGGATTCATTCCTTGGGAGGTGTTTGGTACATTCCACGTTTGGGGTTAAACGTTTTGGAAGACAGTCTTAAGTTGAAACGTTTTGACTTGCAACATAAAATTTAATTATTATCAAAACGGCTTGTGATTTGGTACCTTAACGAGACAGTCTTAAGATTGATTTAGACCTAGTAATGAAGTTAACCGCGTGTCTCGAAGCGGAACAATGAAATATCAATGCGAAAACGACGATGAGTCAAACAAGAAATGGCTACTTACGTAATGAAGAGAAGGCAGAGGCTAGCTTGTTCAGCAAGGTCGTTCAGCGATATTCCGGCGATGAAAAAGTCATCCGCTGACAAGCTCCGCTGACAAAACCAGACTGGAGCCATTCGTGTATTTCACCGCAGACAGGAATGGCTCCAACTCATGCGTATGTTAATTTTTTTTTTTCGTTCTGGCTAAATAATTCATACCCTGAGATAAAAACTGAAAGAGCGATTTATTAGGTTCTTCTTAAGTTGAAGTCTACAGTGCTTGTAAATGAAGCCCTCTTTCCTTACTAAAGGGCTATGTAGTTCTTAAGTTTTAAAATAATGCAGCAATCTCACGTTTGGAAAATCACGCAATGTTGCGTGACGCTGCGACCGATGTTTTTAATTTACTCTGCTGGAGAAATATGGCTTAGCCACCATCGAGGGAGTTTTTTTTTCGTGGAAAACTGATTTTTTAGGTTATTGTTCACATAAAGGACAAATCCATTCATCGGGCTCTTCGTCTGTTTTAAAACTACTGTTCGCACAGCGCTGCTTACTAGTTTAATTTTAAATTTTTTTTTCAAAAACTGTTTAAAAAATTATTTAAAAATTATTGTAAAAAAATTATTAAAATGTTCTCTGTTCGTGCGTGTGAACTGACTAAATGAATTTAGTCCGCGGAGCTAGTCAGCTGATGACTTTTCCATCGCCGGAATATCGCTGAACGACCTCGCTGAACAAGCTAGACTCTGCCTTCTCTTCATTATGTAAGTAGCCAATTCTTGTTTGACTCATCGGCGTTTTCACATTGATATTTCATTGTTCCGCTTCGAGACACGCGGTTAACCATACTCACATGCAAGGAGTTAAGATGTAAGTTATTAACTTTTACCATTTTTATCATCCAATCACAGGTCGGAGCCATTCCTGTATTTAGTCGCTTGTTTACAAAGGGTTATACTTCGACGAGCCATGGATCTACCAGAGAAAAACTCATCCTATAAGCAGCAGGAATACTGGGATAGACGCTTTTCGAAAGAGGACAACTTTGAATGGTGCAAAAGCTACAAAGATTTCGAACATTTAATCAACGAACATGTGAACCGTAGTGATCGAATACTCATTTTAGGCTGCGGAAATAGCTCTTTAAGCGAAGACATGTACCGTGACGGATATAGAAATATCGTTAATATCGACTTTTCAGCTGTAGTAATTGAGAATATGAAACGGAAATGCAAAGATTTAACCGAGATGCAGTGGATGGTGATGGACATGACAAACATGACGTTCCCAGAAGGTTCGTTTGAAGTCATTATTGAGAAGGCAACTTTGGATGCACTAATGGTGGAAGAAAGAGATCCTTGGAACCCTACAGGAGATATACGAAATAGTATGGATTGTGTTCTATCGCAGGTTAATCTTCACTCTGTAACTTCTATGTCATATATAATTTCAATTTTAGCATTTTTTCCTCTCAAAAATTGTTTTCAGTCAGGGTAACAGAAGAGGAGGGGAGCCTCTTACCTTCCATTCCTCCCTCGTGGAGAAAATTACTTTTTACTTCATGCGTATGGAACTTTGATGAAATTCGCAAATTATCTGTGTTGGTACGCATTTAACTTACAACCATAATTGTGGAAAAACAATTTGAAGGTACATTATCACAGTGTTTATGTGATAATGCTTGAGTGTACAGTGTCTCTTTGCTTATATGAATATGATGTACCTGTGTTGTAACATTCTATCCCTTGTTTCTTTCCACAGGTGTCTAAAATTTTAATAGATGGAGGACGCTTTATTTCTGTGACATTTTCACAGCCTCATTTTAGAAAACCTTTTCTTGCAAAGTTACAATATAATTGGTCAATATCTCAACAGACATTTGGTGAATCCTTCCATTTCTTTTTCTATGTGATGGAAAAAGGAAGACCAATGAGTGATGAGGACAAAGAGTTGGAAATTTATGTGGAAAATAAAACAAAACATGACAAGGATAACAAGGGTGAAAATGAACCATGTTGCAGAGTTGCTGAAGACACTGAGGATTTTTTATTTTATGTAGCTTTGTAACTATACTCTGAGCAGGTGCTCAAATTATTCCTGGAACCAGTTGCAAATGAGTTAGACCAGAAGGCCTGATCAAGCTAGAGGTCACATATTGTAGAGCTGGAGGAAACTCTTTCCCAGGTCCCTACTCTCTTGCTCATGTTACTTTGAAAATCATTGATTGCTTGATTGAGGGATGCTTAACCCTGTAACTCCCAGATGTGATCAACATGTAACTTCTCCCTATAATATCCATACATTAACCAGCAAACAGGTAATAAGAATACCAAAGTTATCAAGTGGAAGTTGTTATCTTCATCTTACACCAAATTCTTGTCACTAATTTACAAGGAAATGTGTAGCAGCTGAAGGGGAGATTTAACAATCAGATCTTAGGAGTTAAAGGGTTTATACAAGTTTGACTGTAGGTTGGATTGACCATGTGAATAGGTTATTTCTCCTACAACCAGATAAAGAGTGGTTTGTAAGTTATAAAGGAAATATATGCCAAGGAATTTCAGTGCTTGGGGGCTTGTAAAGAAAATGTCATTTTCATCTGAGTTGGCAAATCAAAATTACAGAGCTTATGAATGAAAGGTAATTGTGTGGTAATTGCAATTATGATTCATTACATTGAAAACAGCACTGAAGTGCAACATTTGGGAGTAAATATTTTATTTACCAATTTAAAGCAACATTTGCCTAATTTTTCTCACAGTACTGTACTCTTGTAAGATACTTGATATATTCATCTTGGGAGGAGGTAAAAGTTCCCTTATACCAGACAAACAAGCTAATCAACAAGCAAACAACAAAAATAGCTTACTAACAATACTGTATCCACACACTTTTAACTTTGGTTTTTGTTTCCAGTTCTTTTAGCAACAATTTATTTCACTTTCAAAGTAAGCCCTGTTACCAGGGCTTGCTAAGTCAGCATGGAAAATTGTAAAATTTTTCTATCCAAATAGGCTTGATTACTGAGAATGAGACACTAGTTTCTTCTCCACTGATAACCTGTATGAAATTTTCAAACACGAATATGGCAAGACAAGGCAAGATCCCAGAAACGAAGAAAGCCCCCTTTATCCATTGACTAAGCTCCTTTAAAGAGGCCTTGATGTGTCTACACAGATGTATCCATCTAAGTTGAGTTGGCTGAATGAGGGCAGTCTAGATATTGATGAAACTATTTCCAGACTCCTCTGATCACATTTGGCCAACATAATCAGCAAATAAGGTGCCATGATGCAAGTAGTCAACAATTATCACATTTTTTATCACTGAATGCAGACTTGGCAATACTTGTTGGAATCTTGTGCAAGGAAGAGTAGGTGTCAGTTTCAATTCATCAAGTGTTCTGGGCTCGATGCTTTTAAGTGATGAAACTAAAACTGACAGGCATTCTGCTGGAAAGTGGTTAAAACTGTGGGTAAAATATATAGGAAAGATGAGCAACTCAGGGCTTCAAAAAAATACCAATCAAGTAAAACATCTGCACAACATTTAGCTTTTGGTCATAAAGTACAGTATAGAACTTGCTGAAGTTAAAAAACATGAAAAATACACCTTTAGCCAAATATTTTACCCTCTAGCACTCCCTATGTTGAGCAAAACACCTTGAATTGTAATTGATGCGAAATGAATTATTTCTCACTAAGGCAGGTGGACAAATAACTACATGTAATATCTCGATACTTAAATAACATTGGAATTGAAGCCCTAGCCTATACACAAAATCAATATAACCAGTAGTGACTCCTCAGATCAAGCATTGATTGCCTTCTTGTTCAAGTTTGAGAATATCCTCCCTTTATAACTGTTTTAACACTAGCAAGATGTTAAATGAGCTGTTACACCATTACACTCCCTGTCACTCTCATTGTTCTAGTGATTCCAACTTTGTGTTGAAAACATACCTGTTTCATGAGAGCTCTTTCTTTTAGTTGTAAAAAGCATCAAGACATATGTAGAATGTATTTTTAAGATCTATTATTATTATTATTATTATTATTATTATTATTATTATTATTATAATATTATAATAATTATAAGATACAAAAACCCACCTCAGGTCTAATTTCAAAATTTTTGAGAGCTGGCTGGGATGAGAGAAAACTTCAGACAAAGCAGTGATATCATTATTACCTTTGAAAAAGAGTTTGAAGTAAATCACATTTAAGTACTTTTAGTATTACCCACTTAACTGTTTTTAATTATGGTTCTTCGTTATTAAGGTGATGAAAGTGTTAGAAATCAATGTCCCACCACTGATGTGGTCACTCCTAAAGTTAAATGTGAGGACAGCTAGCTTAAAACAATTTGCAGCTCACTTCAGTCAGATGAAGAGAGAGGATATGTGCACTGAAGAAATGATACTTCTGGTTTCAAAATCAAACAAGTGTACAGCATGGGTTTGATCAGTAAACAACTGTTGCTACAAGTAACAGGGATGTGCAGATTATGTGACAAAATTCAAATCAGTCCTTACTGGTTATAACTCTTACAGTAATCACTGGTTTGATACAATCACTCATTAGAATACACTTCCTACGAGACAATCACAACTTATGCCTTTCAACTTTTCTTTTCGTGGCACAAAAATGGTCAGAAATGCAGCTACAAAGCTGCACACAAATGTGATACTGACCTTAACTAATTAGCTTAAAGGGAGAAACCTGATCTGAAATCCCCAAATGTTACTTTGTATTTCTGCAATAGTGTATAATGTCCAGTCTAAACATTTAGGGTAAAACAATTTGGAGAAATAAAACTTACGCAATCCATTCCTTGCCAACTTCAAAGTAATCAGCGTTTTGTTAATGCACAGGGCTGCAATTATGTTTTCACTTAAACCTGCCACAAATGTTCGAGAAAAAAAAATACAAGTAACGATGAGAACATTACTTGGGTAAGTAGTGAACACATTTTACCCTTTCCACCCATAACACCTCAAAAGCTCTAAGCAATAAAAGACAGAAGGAAGGAAAGCATTAAGAATGACAAGAAGGGAGAGAGAGTAAAGGAAAAAAGACGAGGGATGTAACTTAACTATGACTTACAGTTTTTAACCCTTTAACTCTAAAGATCTTGATGTTAATTCTCCCCTCTAGTTTCTACACATTTCCTTTTAAATTAGGTATGAGAATTTGGTGATAGATCAAGATAACAACTTCAAACTGATAAGTTTGAGTATTCTCATGACCTGTTTTCTTGATAATGTGAGAATGTTATAAAGAGAAGTTTCGTGTTAATCACCCCTGGGAGTGAAAGGGTTAAGAGAACACAAAAACTATGAACACATTGTTAAGTATGTTTTAAAGAAAGAAGTCATTTATCTTGTGGTGATCATGGGAAAAAGAAAAGTCTAAGTTCCCAAGAAAAATTTAACTCCAGTTGACCTTCAGAATAGGCCATTTTACAGTTGTGTACTTAGTTGCCAAGCCTTTGATTTGGAGTGAGGCTGAAGGTGACCTTGTTGTGTTAGAGACCAGAATCTAGTTAGCATGATAACAAATTAATTTGCATTTCAAAAGCAGCAAGGTTTGTATCATAACAAGGTCACCCTTAGCCTCACTCCTGTTCAAAGGCTTGGCAACCAAGCACACAACTGTAAAATGGACTATTACATGTATGGTCTACCTCAGAGCTACAACATAATGATGTTGACTATCACATTTTTATTTACTGCTGTTCCATCACTACCACCCCAGGTGTGTTATTTCATGATGATTTTGTTTTCATTTACCTCTGAGTTGACAACCACTTATGTCCAGCTCAGTTATTGTGCTACTGGATGAAAGCATTTCAGCAAGGCTGTTGTCACTGTTGGGATCATAATGGTTGCCTTTCACACACACATGTTTCACATTCCTGTTACCTAAAGTAGTGCAATTAACAAAGTCAAAATTTCTAAATTACAAGTTCCTTGATAGTAACAATAAATTACAAACTTGTACAAACTGAATATTGAACAAAAGACCTTTGTCTCTCTCTTCACTAGAATATTGCATTTTGAATAAAAATCAACAGGCAATGTGTTGTGGGCCATTTAACATAGCTACAAAGAATTTTAACTTTTCAACTATTGAACATTGTGCAGATCCCGTACAAAAAACCTGAAAACAAACCACAAATAAACAAAGACAGTTTTGAGGTTTGCTAAACAGTCAACCCAATAAGCTATTTTTTCTGAAACCCTCTTGCTTTAATTTCAAGCACCTTCTATATAACCATATTCATTTGATAAATGTATAATTATAATCGTAATAATCAACATATCAAGCAACACAAAAATATAGCAAGCCTTATGCACTTCCTGACACAATAGACACAGATGATACTGATAGTAATGATACTTAAAGGGTCTTAAATCAGGTGCTTTTTACCTGTTAATGCCTGGAATAACTGAGCCAGACCAATGGTGTTGATGTCACAGTCTGACAAAGTCAGAGAGTGAAGAGTGCTGTTTCTTTTTAGTCCCTCTGCAATGAAACTTGCACCCTTCTCCCCAATCATACAGCTCAACTTCATTACTTGAATACCAAAAAACACATCACACATGCCACTTTTTGACAGCAAAGGGTTCTTATTTTGGGAGAAACTTTCAATTGATTCCATGGACTCTGTTGGTTCAGCATTCATTTTGCACCCCACTGATGGTTTCTGGGCACCATCACAATCACCTGTTGGACAACTTGCTTTCCAGCCACCTTTACCACTCTTACAAGCCAAACAATCATGGACATATGAACTCCTCTGCTTACTACGAGATTCATGAGTCGAGTCCTCAGTGCTCACGGCAGAGTCACTTAATGGAAATACTGAATCAAACATCTTTTCCTGGAACTGCTTGCTTACATTACACTGACATACATCTGTTATTACTTTTCCTAAATACACAGAGGTACTTGGTGAAACTATGTTTGATGAGAATTTCAATTTGGTTAAATATCCATGACTACAGTTGCAATCCTTGTAACATTTACAGCACAAAGAGACCACAAGTCTTTCAAAAAGGAGTTTTGTAAATTCATCATTAACTGGGTTATCTGTGATTTGAAGAGAATGCAGTCCTCCATTAGTACAAAGAAAACTAAGTGTATCTACAAACTCCCTGCCAGGTGTTGACACAAGACCAAGGCCATTATCTTGAAGAATCATCGTTTCCAGGGCCAACCAAGTTTTAAGGGTGTGCACAAACGTCATAAAAATGTCAGTATAAAGCCTGAACCCTACCAACTCAAAGTGAACCAGAAAACATGTATGTGTTGGAAACCAGGTTAATGATGAATCCAGTATAGAAGATTTAGGTGAAAATTGGTGTGGTTCTGAAGATTTCTGTAATCCTTGGTTTTCAAAAGGGCAAAAGTTATTAACCATGACATCACTTGGCTGTCCATAGGTACTCTGACCAAACACTTCATCATAAAGATCTGAACTCAATGGATCACTAATATTAGTTTCAAATCTTTTCTCACCTCGCCCATACTTGGTGCCTCTACATGAGATGGCTACAGTTCTTTCATGGGTTTTAGGCGAGTCATTCCAGTCATCAAAGGCATAAATATCAATATCATCATTCTCATGAAAAGAGTCCAAGGTACCTTCTTCATTGGCATTTGTAGAGTAATTCAAGATAGAATCAACTTGAACCGAGGCAGTCTTACTGTGTCCACAATTTGACTGATTACAAGTTTGCTGGACAGAGAACTTGCTTTCTTCATTGAATGCTTTACATTTTGAATTCGGGCTGGAAATACACGTACATGTGCTTATAAAGTTGTCTTCTACCTTGTCAGTTTGATTTTGTGGACTATTTGTTGACAAGGAGTCAAAAATCCTGCTCCACAATTCCACACCAGAAACTTTGGAAAAGCAAAATCCAACAGATTTCAGTCTCCTTGAAGTTAATAGCTGAAGAAGATGACACAGCTGATTGACTCCATTGTTTCTTAAAAGGAAAACCTCAAGAAATTCTACATAATCCACAAGCTTTAAACAGAGGTTCAGATTGTCAATCAGTAAAATGACAGCTGAGTTGTAAAGTCGCAAGTATGTTGCATATCTTCCACAAATGGCGACAATGTTTTCAAGGCTTTGGTTTTTGGAAGAAACAGCAGCGTCACAAGGAATACGCTCAGCATTGAACTCTGTAATGAAAAGTACAGAAACCAAAGAAATCACTGATACAATACAATATAAAGATAGATGTCATAGAGCTTCAAAAAGGTACATGACAACAGCAAAAATTACCAAAAACTGTTTTATTTTTGCTAAGAGTTCACTCCAGCACATAAATTTAAAATTTGTATTGATTGCAACATCAATCATATTCAACTTCTTGATTAGTTGATTTGTATCTTGTTTGCAGAGAAAAAAGTGATGAATCAGTTTTTTAATAAAGTAACATTCTTACATAATTATTCAAAAAGAGACTTAAGTGCACTTACAAATTTTTGCTTCACTGATTGTGCAATATTCATAAACAATTTATCTTAATTTGTTAATTGTTCTACATATACATGTACCTGCAGAAGAGCAGCAACTGCTCTCCTTATCAAGATCACGTTGACAGTTCAGGGCATCTTGGAGACATCTTTGAAGATAACAAATATGCCAACTCTCACCTCCCTTTGAAATCCCATTTTTGGTAAAATAAACATCAGGCCATTTGCTCTTTCTTGGCCAGGAATGCAAATAAAACTTTTTCCAAAGATGATCTGTGTCAAGTCCTGGTGAAAATAACAAAGAAACCATCAGTAAAAAGAAATTGAGGGAAACATTTGATAGCACATTTAAAGATGCTGTACATTAATTTTCAGGTCACAGTAAAACCAGTTTGAGTGGTTTCTCATTTGCTGTTGGTACATTATTATACTCCTTAATCCTTTAACCCCTAAGAGTGACTAACATCTAATTTCTCCTTAAAGCATCACCCCTGAATCAAATGTTAAGGTCATGAGAATAAAGGAGATGATCATCAACAAAAAGAAGCTCTTGATTGTTGAACAAATTCTCCTTGTCAGAACCCTAAGAAATGTCTAGGGAGTAGTATGGAGAATATTTGCACTGATGTAGGGAGTAAAGGGTTAAACAGAGGAAAGTACAAAACAAACTACAAAAAAATTAAGGGGGAAAGTTTCTTGATGAACTGTGGTGCTGTGTTAGTGGGAGTGTAACAAGATAATTAATTAATAATAATTAATATTTTGGTTTTATCAACTGGGTTTATAACATAGCTAGTAAATTTGTCAACTCAAATTCAATTGCGCGGGTGTGCTTCATATTCCTATTGTGCACGCTCATGACGTCAGCAAACAAATCCCTCAAGGAAAAAAGTTTTCCATCGGGTTGAAAATGTTATAAAACAATTGGTTCATATGTCAGCTGTGCGTTCATCAATATTAAAGCACTTGGGAAGTTTGGAGAGCACTCAAGAAGCTAGAGTTGCTCTCAGCTACACCTCAAACAACTCTTATGCATCTTTTGTGCTCTCCAAACTTCCCATGTGCTTCATATCTTGATGAACACATGCTGACGCATGAACCAATTGTTAATGATTAAATAGGCCACAAATGAGACTTTCTCAAACTGACTTGAGAGAGTTCTATTGGCTGTTATGTTCAAAATGTCACCTTTAAAAACTTTCCACTGGGGCCAACTCACAAATTGTCACACAAAACAAATTTATCCCAAATTAATTGTTAAACAAAAGCATCAGTATAGGTAATTATGACCCATATTATTCATAAAATATTTTGTAATAAAGAACAAATTACCATATGATATAGACCCATGACATTTGAAAAAAGGTAAATCATCATATAAAACAAAACTACACATAGGTTGATAATGAGAAGAAAGGAAATGATTGCCAACCTAAGAAGTTTAGATTGCTAAACAAATTCTCCTTGTCAGCACCAAAGAAAATGTATAGAGAACAGTATGGAGAAAATGGATATTGATGTTAGGGTGTGAAGGGTTAAAAGGACCACCACAAAATGTACATGGTGGTATATTCTGCCATGTCCAGGGGTACAGCTGTGCTTAAGTCTTTCTTACCAACAGTTTGGAAAATGCCACTGACTTCAAGCCTTTCTACATCAAAAGGATGGAAATTCTCTAAAATTGGAAGAAGGAGATGTCTTGGAATTCCTGAAAGTTTTATAAAGCAAAAGTACAACAAGCGTAAACTAGGTTAGACTACATACATACAAGGGAATGTTTGGTGATGGTTATGCAGTGCACTGTAATACATAATAATTCACTTTAACCCTTTAACTCCCAGTTCAAATTTGTACTTCTCTTTTCTGTCAACCATACAATTTTCATGATGTTACTTCAGAGAATTTAGTGTTGGATCAACCAATTATCCCCAAATTGATATTGTTCTTTATTCTCATCACTTATCTGGTCAATATTATATTGATAATGTAAGGAGAAATTCTGTCGCTGTCACTAATGGGACTTAAAGGGTTAAAAAGTTATGCATTTCTAATTGACTGAAAATGCATGCAGTTTCATGTCACTTGAGTGCAAAGTTGTGATGTAAGTGCAAATTCCAAATAGCATGCTCATTGTCAAAATTTTTCTATGATGCTTTTTTTATGTAAATTATTAACAAGTAATTACATGATTTGTAGTCTTTGAAAAATTTACAAGAGCTGATTACACCAAGTTGCACTCGAAATCATGATATTACTTGTTAATAGTGTACATATAAAACATATTGCAGGAAGTCAAGACTGACAGAATTTTGAAAGCGTGTGCATGCTATTTATAACTTGCTCCCATGTTACAATTTTGCGCTCATGTTACATGAGAATGCAATCGTTTTCAGCCAATCAGAAGCGCGTAATTTTTCATGTCTATTATTAATAATGTCATTGCCTAAACATGCATGTAATATAATGTAAGGATAATATAATTAAACTATACTTTTTAAGGACAACCGAAAGGTACGCAAGAAAGCACACATTTCCCATTGTTTGTGAGTGCTAAATGACTATTTTAAAAGAGAATCATCGACGTTTTCATTGTGTGTAAAATGGGGTGCATTGTTGTAAACTCGTTCTGGTATTATATCATCACACTCGCTCATGCAGTCACTTAGTTGTCACCCAAAGCAACCCTCAAGGCAATCACGTCCCAAAATCAGCAAATTGATTTCACCAAATGTTACACACCTAGGAGAACTTTAGGATCCCAGAGGTTTCCATGAGCAGATACAAATCTTATGCATAAATCTTCAAGTCTGAGAAAGTGATCCTCGCGTCCGCCCGCCATATTTGATTATTGAAGTGGATTGGCGGCGGACTGGACACTATACAGGTAACACGAGTCGCGTGACCTTTACTGTACTGGTTCATAGAGGGTCCTAAACTTTTTTCACTTTCTTGTTTTGCCTCCATTGAGGATCTCTAATAAGTTTTTCGGGATCCGGGATTAGACTTATTTAAAGGCCGGGATCTGGGAATTTAAATCGGCGATTTTGAGAAGCGGGATTCGGAAAATAATCACTTAAACGAACCAAGAACCGGGATATCCGTTGACGAGAATTTATGGAGAATTGATCTTCTCAGTCATGAAAAGCATTAGGTATACAGGCTCTCTAGCATTCAAGAGGCGGTCGGGCTGCTCAGCGATACCCTTCATTTATTGCGCGGGAATGAAAATTATATCAGAAGCGAAGTTGCCAATTTATCAAAAAACCTCCATGGCCCACAGGGTAACGTGGTCTAAGACTGTTACGTCGATTGAAATGCTTGAAAAATGCGTTGAAAAACCTCCAGCAAGTCTCGGAATTATACCGATATGATGCTCTTAGCCTGTTGAGTTACATGACACTCGATGTTAAGAACATTCAGTCGGTTGTGCATCACAAAGATAAACTTTTCACCGCGTAGACTACCCAAGGAACTTTGGAAATATAGCCTAAGAAGGCTTAATGAGGACAACCCATTAGGCAGCGTGCTATTTTACAATCCAAATTCTTGGTATCCTTTACCCGAATGTGCCAGGATCCTGTCGGCCATACCAGCAATTCAACCGTTACCACCGCCGATGGCACCACAGAGCATACAGAAGACGAGGGACTGGGCGTAAACATTTGTTGCAGCACTGTGTCAGCTCACTGTCAGACAGGAAACAACGATGGCAAGAGCTGGAACTTCCCGTCATACCTCTATCGGAGAAAAATTTAGCCGGTCGAACCGGTCAGCCTCGAACGCTCTGACTTCGAGGAACAGTAAGAAAACAGCAGGAAACAAGACGAAGAGGAAGATGGAATATTGAAGTACAATTCCCCGAGTGATGACGATGACACTCCATCTTCGGAACGAGAGGCTGATTTTTACCTCAGAAGGGGTTCTCGCTTCGGAAGAAGTATTCGCCTCAACAGCAGAATTGTGTTCAGTTAATTTTCCTTTATCTCCGTTGTTATGGAACTATGAAATTACCGTGACCGTGACCTTTAGTGTTTTCTGCACTTGTTGAAATTCCTATTCGTTTCTTTGATACTGACCTGTCTGTGATCGAAGTTTAATGAAAGGAAGTCGTTACCGCACGTTATTCGTGCAAAACTGAGGCTTCTAAAATGAACAATATCATCATCTTGGTGACAAGAGATAAGCTGAAGCCTTACGGTGACTATAGACTTCAACGGATCGATGCTGGTTAAGAAAATCATCACGCACCGGAAAGGCCCTTTTAAGTTTAGGAAATAATGGGTTAAGACAAAATTGTATGATCGGGATCAGGATTGGTCGGTATAAACCGTCGGGATTACAGGATTGGGAGAAAATTTTAGTCGGGATCGCGGGATTGAAGAACCCTATTGGGAACCTTTTCCATTTTTGCCAATGCGAAACACAAACATGTGGATATTTTCACTGTTTTGGATCAGAAAAAAGCACAATGAGTTTAAATGGGAGCAGTTCAAAAGACGGTCATTATAGAGGCAGCCAGTGGCAAATCGTAAGCATTGATGCAAGGAAATTCCCAGTAATTTGTGCGAACGTTCAAAAGGTAATTTTTCTGTCTCTACGCTTTCTACAACTTATAACCTAAGATTGTACGACAAGGTTGGCCGATATTCACAAAACAAAACGTGTTTCGAAAAATTTAAAAAAGGGCATAATATTGAATCCTCAAGGGTCCTCAAGAGGTTTTTGACCGCTTGGCGGCTGATATAACGTGACGCTCAATTAAGCTTGGTTACCTAAACAGTCCGAGTTTATGTTACAACTAAAACTGTGTTACCCTTGAGAGTCTTACACCTGAAATCGGATAACGTTTATCGGGCCATTTAGAGATGATGCGGTTAGTGTTTCGTGTGTGAGGATATGGTCAATCGTGTTTCCATCCGATATTTTGCGGTTGACAGCGGGACTCGACACATGTAAGAGAGGCCAACTGAAGTTGTACGCTTTATCTCGCTTGATTTCGGTGTCTCGTGAAATGTCTGTTTAGGAAATTTCTTCAGTTTTGTGGGATGAAAATTTCTAACCAAACATGAGGTTAAACATATGTGACCCTCGAGAACACATTGTAATGACCATGATAGCAAGTAACAATAGAAACCTCACTTCACCCGATTTTTACCTGATGTCACTTATTGTTTATTTCGGAGTATCTTCGTAGATCGACATTCGCACTAGAGATTATTGGGCGCAGCATACACTAAAGAAAGAATACTGCCTTTGAAACAAATTATTTTTTGCCTGTGAAAAAAACCCCGAATGTTATTTTTTCAGTTCTTGCCTTGACAATACAGAAGACGATAAACATCTCACAATCATTTCAGGATAAAACAAAACTTTTCCTTGCAGGAATACCTTATTAGGTGTGATCGGTGCATCATGAAAACTTGGAGGAATTTTTTTTTTCTCTGAAGAGAAAGCATTTTACCGTTTGAATCAGTGAATTACGCCAGACCCTTTTCAGTAATCGTTAACCCTAACGTCAGCTTTTAGACCCTTTACGGTGGCCAATTTACGTTATCAATTCAGTTGATAATACTAAATTACCCCGTTATCCTTTTTAGAACTTATCATTTTCCATAATATTCCTAATTGGATTTTTTAAATCAGCATAAATGTTGTTGGTGAAGAAAGATGCCATGTGTGGATAAACAAAAATCTATTTACAATAGACTTTGGTTTGGCGTTCTGCACTGGATCGACTGTTATCCACAATAAATGATATTAATATGCAGTATAACTTTTTTACATGTCCGCGATTTTTTCAACTGTGCGTATGACATTTTTGTGGTGATGCTTTATTCAGAGCCCTCATGAAATTGCTCACTGATTAGCTGACTAAGGGCCTGATTACATGAGCTGGGCTGATTCGGTTAGGTCGGCACTGTTTCGGCACTTTTGTTTAAAGCAACTTCGCGATTACACGACAACATAGCCAGATCCTGGGAAACCGGGCTGGCCCGGTTTCCATGCCATCACGTAGTTGATTTTGTGGCCTTAAACCAAGAGAAAAAAATGGGACAAACAAAAGTGCCGAGATCTCAATAAAACCGAGCCCCCCTTGATCCGTAAAAATTCTTCCAAAAAGTGTATTATCTTTGTTTTAAAACCAGCATTTAGCTGTCACCCAACAGACTTTCAACAATCATCAAGGCTTACAGTCTTGTTACTTCATCTCAGCTCTTGCATTTATCCAAACACTTCACAATAGGCTGAAGCGCCACAAAGGCCGCATTTTTATGACCGAGTTGAGAATAGTAGTGTGCAGTCATTTCTTCGTCTAGTGGACGCACGCGCGAGGCGAGCGCAATGGGCGAGTCTCGTCCACTGGTGGAAGCTTCAAATCACTGTTCCACGTGAGAACACTAGATCATACTCTAAAAAAGCAGCCAACTTTCCCACCTCAAAACTGCTCTAACGCCAAGAGATATATTTATTACCAGCCCCTGAAGGTTTAAGACGTTTTATCACTTTTCGTAAAGTAATGAACGTTGTCAACTAATCACTAGTGTTTTCAACTTGAAGGCCACCAAGTTAACGTCAGTCCCTCGCTCTGTTCAGCCGGAGAATCTTCATGCTTAGGAAAAGAGTAATTAACGTGCTCAGGCGATATGCGGAGATCCATCTGTAGTATCTTAACAGCGGCTGTTTGTTTTCAAGTTTCTATCGTGGTTTATGCCATACTGAAGTATTCAAATGCTGCATATGAAATGATTTTCACAACGGAAGAGATATCAAAAGAACAGTATGGACTTGAGTCGGAAAGCTTAAAAAGTATTTCGACAAAATACTCCTCTTTAAAGAACATTCGCACTTAGTGCTCTCAGATGACTTTTACATTCGCCTCCAACGTTAAACAACCAAACTTTAACAAAAGGAAAACCAACATTTTTCTTTTAGTTTTACTGAATTGTGTCTGGAGTTGACAGGTTGGGCTGGTTATTGAAACAATGTTCAGCCGTTGTTTAACAAAACCTCATTCTAAACTATCTTGAATTTAGATTAATCTTTTTATCTGAACATATGTTTTTGTGAACAGTGTCAAGAGGGCCGAAAGCTAGCAGTGGAAGGGTATTTATTTAACGAAAAGAACCCTCTTATAAACAACACTTAAGGTCCAATGCTTGCGTAAAGCCGCGGTTTGGGTTAGACCTCGTGTAAATAACTGGCCCATTGTATTTCAAGCGAAGAAACAGCATTCGAAGAACACGAGGCAACAAATCAACTAACACTGTTTTCAAGAAATAGGAGCGTTTTTTTGTTTTAGGCGCGACACTTAACACCAAGCAGTCCGTCTAGAAAGACATTATTTTGCTAGACGTGACAGATAATTATAACAATTTATTGATAAAGATTCAGGAGTCAGGGCTCCGCTAGAGGCGGATGACCATGTTTACGTATGTTCCTCATCTGACGTCATGGTTAGACTCTGCAGGTAAAAATCATTCAGGATGATAAGATGCACGGAAGCTTCATCTATGATGATGCTGATGCGAAACGAGAAGATATTAACACCGTGTTACTAGAGATTGTCTTGCAGAAGTATTCTATCCTTCTTACCGTACAGGAGAGTCTTATGTTTTATCCTCCAGTGTTCTTCCTTTATTATTTCAAGCGGTACAGAAGCCAACTGCGATCCCGTTGAAGATGCATGGTTACATGGGTATCTTGGCCAGGGTATTTAGCCTAAAACCAGTTGATATACCTGGTTTTCATTTCTGGAGAAAGCTGGAACATTATGGGAAGTGTGACTAGTCTTCAGCCATTGTCGTGGGACATGGTTTTGAGTTGGAAGACTTCATTTGTATAGAAAAGAAACTTACAGAGGCGAACGAACTTCCTAGAAGTTATCATAAATGTCTATTAGGTAGGTTTTGTATTTATTTACATAACCTGTGTTGTTTTCCTCTTTCTTGTCTAATTCATATTTCGCTTAAGGAGAAACCATTGATGCACACCTCAAATGATAAAGAAGCAAATGTTATCGCTCCAATGTGGTTTGTCTATAGGTGACTGAAGGTTATTCTCCTGAAACTGGAGAATGTCCGCGTGATGTTCCGTAAATAGTATTCCCATTTTAATCTCCGCGACCAATACGATAAAAGTCTTGAGACGAAGTACACTCAAGAAACACCAATTAGCTTTTAAAGACAATGTTAAAAACTTACTGCCTATTGCGACTTGAGATCGAAAATTATCCTCAACGGACGCCGCCATATTAAGAAGCACTTGGAAACAAGGCCGCACACGTAAAACTATAATGCACAGTTCATCGACTTCTGCTCTTGTTTCCGCAAAAATTTAGTATTCTGGTCAAGAATGCTTTTGTGTGTAGCCTCTGATCGTTTGTGGAGATCGCTAAGAGCTTGCATAAAAGGAGCGAGACTTTGTTGCGTTACAGTGAGATAGTCAGGCTGCAGGGCAAGATTCAAAACGGCGCCTTCCACTATCGAATTTACAGCGCATTTGGAGATAATCGTCAACGGATAAGATTATGCGGTCAATATCAAAATTTCATAGTTACTTTTCAATGATGAATATTGAACATGTTTTCTGGAGAAAAGTTTCCCTTTAGTTGACCATAAACGTTTGGTCATAATAACAATAAACATAATTGTAATCAAATAATAAGAAAAAAATTCAAACAACTTGTGTGCTAAGTAAACGTTGTTTTTAATACAAACACACCTTGATAATTGTCACACGCTACCTCTAAGATCTGAGACGGTACGTTTACCATAACATATCCTGAAACGCTTGACCTAAAAGTTAAATTACTTCCCAGAGAAGAAACGAGGAAAGGGTGTGATGCCTCGAATTTTAGAGGAGAAGAAATTGTAATCTTAAAAATTTGTCATTAAAATGGGAAATAACCGTGACGAGCATAAATGAGACTTTAAAAACTTCTTGAAATCGTAACGAGTGATTTATATCACAACAAAGAGAGTCTTTCAATTGTCACTTCTTATTAATATTTATTGCCAGCCTTACAGAAATAAAGTTGAAAGTGAGCACTTCAGCAGCAAAGTAAGCAGGAGGTACGGTTTTTCATGCACTGAAGGCCAGGTGCCCAATCAGTGTAAAGACGTATGCACTTAGTTGACTTGAAACGTGTGCTGAGTGGCTTGAACCGTATAGGAGACTTATATCTGCATGTGGAGAAAAATATGTAAGTACTAGAATAGAAAGATAAGCAGGGATTAGACGCCAAAAGGTTTGTAACCCTCCATAAGGGGGATACAAAGGCATCCCTATCCTGCAGATTTTCGGTTGCGCGCAAAATTTAAACAAAGATTAGTACAGTTATTTTTTCATTGGATTTCTCTAACGTGTTTTGCTCATGTATATGAAACTCGTGAGAATGAAGATGGCATGCGTACGATGTAAATTAACCTTGCAAACGGGCGTGCATGTCAAGGAACCGAGATCATCCTTTACAATAAACAAATTTCGTTTCATAATCTACATCACTTGTAAAGAGAGCTTTCAAAACGCCAAATACGGAGAGTAACCTTATTCATCATCTTGGTAAAATATTACACTTCAGCATACAATTGTTCTGACAAAAAAAAAACAATCTTCAGATGAATTTATTAACAAAGTAACCTTGGAAATAAGGAAATTGTCCTTAATAGAAGCATGCGTTCTGGTTTTGAATAGTTTGATTTGTAGTCTTATCTAGCTGTCCCATCAGGACAGGCATTTTTTTCCACTTGCAGAGGCTGTTAGGAAAGCATCTTAAAATACTAGTTCATGATCATTTTCGACTTTTTTTCGGATACAGTCATTTTGATGATTGGAAAAGTATCAATTCGATGCTTTTTTACAATCGACTATCTGGAAGCAATAACTATCTCTCTTACTTACGTCCTCCAACACATACTTCGGGTAAATTCGTCTCTTCAACAAATCGACAATGGTTTAGCGTGGTCTGTTCTCATATTGACAAAGATATTCGTCATCAGTGGTCACAATGTTGCGAACTCAACGAGACGCAGATAAAGCACTGTCGATTTGTTTTTTTTACGATAATATCGACGTCAATTAAAACGATTCTCTCAGAGCGTGACACGTTGATGCGAGAAGCGTTGTTTGTATTCTTAGAGATCGACAACGGAATATTGACCGATCAGATTGCGACATTACCGTCAATTGGGTTAAAATATCCTTCCTTACCTATGCATTCTCCGTGATAACACTCTTCATTCTCTGCGCAATTACATTCCTCCTCTTCTTTCTCAGCTTGAAAAGAGGCAAATTTGCATTTTCAAAAATGCATCATTGGATATGGTGGATTTAAAATGTTCTGTAGTGAAAAGCCCTTGCTGCGCTACGTCTGTACTGTCAAGCGGGACTCGAGACTACGTCCTCCCAGTAGGATTACATCAATATCGGTATCTGGGAAATTGCCCACCTACTCCTCCCCTGATCGTGCTTTGTTGATAATATTTATGAATCTCTTTCCGAAGTGTAGAGCTTATCACACTCCCCATTGGAACGTTGGATCAATATCAGTATCTGGGCAACTACCCACCTACCCCTCCCCTAACCCAACATTAACCCTAACTTGTTATTAATTGACTGTTGTTGGGTTAGGGGAGGGGTAGGTGGGCAGTTGCCCAGATACTGATATTGGTGTGGGGGGGGGGGGGAAAGGAATGTTTTTGATGGAGTCGTAAACTCAAAACCAAAGGTATCGCAACGACCCATCAGAAGAGAGAATTATATCTCTAAGAGCCAATGAGAACCCAAAGCCAAACAACCGAGCTATCTAAAGCATGGGAGAACCCGGGTGAACGAGTCGTGATTGGTTTCAGTTTTGCTATTAGTTTAGATTGGTTGGTTCTTATCGATTTACAAAACGAAGTAAACTAATTAAAAGTAATCCCGGATGACTTTTGACGCTCAGTTGAAAATTGCTCCATGCGCTCTCACCAATCGTTTCTTTTGAGCACTTAATTGCAATAATCCATTAGATATTTCTCATATGTCCCTTAATCTACATCACAGATCCTCTTAAAATGGTTGCCAGATTAAGCTGAAGTAAAAATGCATACTTTGCGTTTTCTTCAAATTGAAAAACGTTTCCTCGGAGGGACGTTTTTATGACGTTTAATTTGGGAAAATCCCGCGAACGGAAATAGCAAAAAAAATGATAATAATGATAATTTTAATATACTGTACTAACAATTTTCCTACTAATGATAATAATTACAATAAATATGACGATAGTACAATTTATCTCTTAGAGAATGATACGTTGTTACAGGCATCTCATTAAATCGGTATGCTCCTCAGTCTAATTTTGCGGAAAAACATATTAAGACGTATGTTATCTTTGCGATTAAAACCCCATTCACACCACAGAAAAACATTTTTATTTGAACCGTTTTGAAATGAAAGAAAATTAGAAACAGAGAACTGAAAAGGTGAATTTTCCTTGGGATTCAAGTAATCGCAACTTTTTTTTTTCATTGCACTACATTTGAAGTCGACAACATCGGTTTCAGCAGCTTCTACGGAGAAGAAAAATTTCAACCTCGTTTAACATAACATCTTTAAAACATGTTTAAGCTATGGTGTGAATAGGCCTTACGGTTCTCTCGTTCACGCTTGCTCGTAACACTCTTTTGACTGATCTTATGGTCGCGATTGAGACAACTACGTCGTTTGTGTGAAAAGTTTTAAAAACGTACCTTCCTCAACACATTTATCATATCTCTTCACAAATCCTAGTTTACAGGGACAAGAAAACCACCCTCGGTGGTTTCTACATTCAGTGCCATCATCAGTGCAGGGAGACTCGTCAGCAGCACATTCGTTTATGTCTAAAATGAAAGATGATAAATTGTGTTCACTTAACTGAGATCATTCCTTCCTTTTAAACAGCAAACGAGACTATATAAAGCATTCATCGTCAATCTAAAGTTTGTTTAAGTAAAAGCTTGAATTTAGAAGCATAGTTTCAGTTTTACATATTACTCTAAGTCATAAAAAACGGAGTAGCCCATTCTCGACCAACCCTCACCTCCTTGTATCTTGGTGACAGATAGCAAAAATGACTGTAACAACAGTTATGATAATTTTAATAAATGATGGTAATAGGACCGAGTGGAGTTCAATTCGATCTGTAATCATGCGAGAGGTTACAAAATCGGACGACCGCAAAGCGGGAGTCCGATTTGTCAATCGTAACATGAAAATAATTTAAAAAATCAAGTACATCTATTTGAGAAAATATCTCCAGTAGAGACATTGTCTTAACTAAAAAATTCCTCCATTTTGGAAATTCCCCAGTTTTGTAGGGTATGTAGTTGTTGTATGGTTATTGTAATCAGTTTGTGATTGATGAATTTAGCTGAGTGGACTTAGTATGATTGGCTGCTCTAACCGTCCGATTACAGGTGTCCGATTACAGCCGACTATCCGACCTCATTGTATGATTACAATTCTAAAGAATAATCAGTGAAAAATACAGTAGCTAATGCACCCATCACTCTTGAGGAATTACATAAGTAACAATAACATGAATAATGTTAACATTATAACGACAACTACCACAACAATGATAACTGTAACGATAACATTGACCATAACCATTCCCATAGCAGTGTCGATGAAGCCTGCAGTCAACAATAACGATTGTTATAAAAATAACAGTAATAGTTATAAAAATAATAAAAATAATGATGGGATTCAGCAATGGACACTCCACAAGGTGGCTCTTGTTGTCCACTGTGACCATCCATGTCCAACTGAAATTTGGAATGTTCGTTTTTATGAAGGGAGGAAAACCGAAGGACCCGCAGGAAAACCGGAGGACCTGCGGGAAAACCGAAGGACCCGTGGGAAAACCGAAGGACCCGCAGGAAAACCCGTAAACCAACAAAAAGCTCAACCCACATGTGACACCAGTTCCGGGAACTGGACACAGGCCGCAGTGGAAATTTTGGATTTTCCAGCTCATACAAGCTGACTATGAAGCCATTTATCTAAGTACCTACATGCCACGAATCTTATGGAAACTGTTCCCGTTCATCTGTCTCAATAAATCTGAAGATGATTTAATCTGATGTGGTTGTAACTTGCCTTCGCATTGTCCTTTCCTATATTCAAAATATCCAGGAAAACAAGAGCATCTTCCTTCATCATTGCATTCTCCATTTGGAAGGCAAGCACATTCCACTTTTGTGAAAGAAAACAATTGTTATTATAACATAGCGCGCGTGCTTGTCCTATGTAAGTTCTATTGAGCCGCTATGAACAAAATCTTTTAATTTACGCACGCCCGTGCATAAATAAGATGACGTGAGCATTTTTTGTTCATTGTTGCTCTGTTATAAAAGAATTTGCTCATGCTTTTAGCTGTGCGTATATCGAGTTATGGGTGCACTTGGGAAGTTTGGAGGGCACTCAAAAAGCTAGAGTTGCTTAGGGTACTCTTACGTATTTTTCGTGCTCTCCAAACTTCCCGCGTGCATCCATAACTCGATATACGCACGCTAAGCATGAACAAATTCTTAATTTTCATGCAATGTACATTTAGCGATTAAAAGGTGGAACTAGGACTATTCTAAAGCACTTAAATGTTGCAGGAAAAAAAAAGGTTCGCGCCTCAACAAACCTTACCCTGGCTTACTCTCTCACTCTCTGACTTACTTCTTTTGGTGCCTCCTGAGAGTACCCTTTCGACCGTTTGATGAGTTCATCAGCTGTATTTCAAAGCAAGGAACTTTTGTACCGTGTTTTAACCGTTGGTCGCCCCAGATTCACCTTCTGATCCCCAGTTACTAGCATCTAGTTTCTCCTTATAGTATATCAACCCTGGATCAAATATTCAGGAGGCTAAAGTAGCTGATCACCAACAAAAGAAGCTCGTGATTGTTAAACAAATTCTCCTTTTTGCCACCTAAGGAAATGCCTGGAGAACAGTATGAAGAATGTGCATGCTGATGTTAGGGTGTAAAGTGTTAAGAGACATTGGGCAAAGTGTTTCCTATGTGCTGAATATGGACTTTCCTGGAGTACCTACTCTCGCAAACTCCGTCAGCAGTCTTCTGGAATCCTGCCTTACAATCACATTTAAAAGCACCCTCCGTGTTTGTGCAGTGAGAGTTAGCTGGGCATGTGTCCGGGCTCTTACATTCGTCTATATCTGCAAGTAAAAAATTAACAAAGATAAAAGGCATAAATCTCCTCCCTCCTGTGGTTCCATCTGCCTTCCCAACCCAAAAATGCAACCTTTCATTTCGCCGAAAGAAACACTTCGCACTTATAAAATATAACTGTGCTAAACGAGATAAAGATATTATTGCTAACAGAGAAATGAGAATTTATTCACGGAGAAGACAGTTCTTCATGAACTAAAGATTAATATCACCTTTGCAAATTGTTTCATATTTATCCAAAACCTCAGTGAAACCATCCATACAGAAGCAACCATAGTTGCCATCCACTTGCTTACATCCTCGTCGGCCAGAACACGGGTTGCCTATCTTCTCGCACTCATTCATTTCTAAAAAGTAAATAAAATGAATAAACGATAAAGGATCAAAGTCAATTTCTGATTACAGTGGTACTCTTAAAAAACTGAGTCATCCTCAGGGAAACTTTAGACCCCAGGGTTGCATCAAAACGAGAGCGTAGAAGCCGCCATGATTGCTGATATCTGTCGAGGTATTGGTAGAAATTGAAAGAAGAAGGAACGAAAATGAGAGCCCATGTTTTCTCCGCTGACCTCGTCGCTTTCAAGCGAGTTCATTTTATGAATATTGACATCATACCTACACAAGTACCATCATTAGACTTCTTAAAATCCAGATGACATCTGCAGTATGGATTCTTGGGATACTTGGGATCAACAACACACAGGGCGTTAGAGTCACAATGGTATTCTTTTGGACATGGAAGAGAGGCTACAATACAAAACAAAATGGACATAAACATTACATTGCATCAATGTGAAAGCCAAGATGCAGGGTTACCAGCGTGCATGAGTGCATACCAGGGTTACCAATGTACATGTGTGAAACCCTTGACTTATTTGAGTGGATCCGGGGTAGGGGGGGGATTCAAAAACTGTTGTGTGAGTGTGTATTTCTGTTCCTATTTTCATAATAATTAGCAGAAGCAGCTCTTAGTTTTTGCTTAAAATTTGCTATGGGGTTTTACCTAAATTCCACCGCAGGTGTCAGGAGTTATTTCCTCTTGGGAGTTGGTTTATTGCCTACGGGAGAGCTCTAACAGCTTAAATTTAATTTTTAGAGGCTGAATGTCGAATAGTTTTTAGTATAGTCAAAATCTTATAAAATAACAGTATGGGCCTGCATATACTCTTACAGAAATTCTGAACAGGAAGTTGGGGATACAAGAATTGAAAAGTCTGGCAAGAATTTGATATCCTGACACATAGGACCACTCAATTGGCAAACAGTGAAAGGAGATAAATCGTTTTGTTGGCACGGTTAGTTCTCAAAAATTCCAGCAGCAATTCTTCATTCCCCTGCGTACATTTTTGAGCTTTTAGAATTTGCAATTACAGTACCTTTGCAATCAAATCCTCCCCCTACTGTGTGTCCCCTGCAATGGCACTTTTCTCGATGGCATACGGCATCTTCATGGCAGTCGCTAGGCTTGGTACATTGATCTAGATTTTCTTAAAAGAAAATAGGGATCATCCAGGACCATGTTCTTAACTTATTATTATTATTATTATTATTATTAAATTATTAGTATTAAATTATTAGTATTAAATTATTATTATTAAATTATTATTATTAAATTATTATTATTAAATTATTATCATAATGACTTTTTAAATTGAAATTCGTAAGTCAAAGCAAAGCGAGATCCCTCTCTCTTTCTCCTATTTGACAAACTATTTATCTCAAAACAGCCAATGGTTATAAAAAGTCACTAATAGAGCAGCTTAGGAACATTCTTACCTGGTTTTCTGCAAGTGCCCTTGAAACACCGCTGATCCCCTTTACAATCTTTGTCACCGACACATGCTAAGGTGAATTTGGAGATGATTTGTTAAGAAGCTAAACTTGACATGTGCAACGGTGAGGGATATTTCATCGGCAAGGGATACGTTTTACTAGAAGATGGCCGTTTTTAACCTCGCAATGGAGAGGTGCGAGCCGCAATTTTCAAGTTACAAACTTAATCTTGCTCTGGTTACTTGTCTTTCTACTTCTTAGGTCGAAACGAATTTAAAACTATTCTGACCATGGTGACTCGAGAAATGGCACGTAAACCTTCTAAAAAAAACTAAATTTATAACATAGTGCGCGTGCTTGCACTATGTAAGTCCTATTGAGCCGCTATGAACAAAATCTTTATTTACGGACGCCAGTGCGTAAATAAGGTGACATGAGCATTTTTTTAACCTGGCTTCAGTTTTCGTCCTGTTAAGCTGCAGTGCAGTTTCCCTTCTCTTTGAAATATGAAAGAAACCAGCGAAGAACTACCCAATTTTTCTATCGGCATTGACCTTTTTGGTCCTGATCCAACAAGCAACAAAAATAAAGCCGAAAAAAACTCGCAAGTTGCACGTTTCGCAAACTTGTCGGAATCGTAAACATTACTTTGAACAATCAAAACCCTTGATAACTTCGGGTCTTTGACTTTTAAAAAATTTTTTAGTGACACTTGAATTCATCTGGCTTTGATTTTCTCCATTTTCCCCGTAAATTTTGAGCTTTTCATTCACAATTATCGGTCAAACCAAAGTATAAAATGTGGCGTGTTTTTGACCAGCCAATAGGGACGTTTGTTTACTTCTTTTTGTGCGTAGTGAGAATTTTCAATAAAAGGCTTCTTCGTGCAGATCGTTGTTGTCGCTCTGTTATAAAATAATTTGCTCGTGCTTTTAGCTGTGCGTATATCGAGTTATGGATGCACTTGGGAAGTTTGGAGAGCACTCAAAAAGCTAGAGCTGCTCTCGGCTGCGCCTCGAGCTACTCTTACACATTTTCCGTGCTCTCCAAACTTTCCGCGTGCATCCATAACTCGATGTACGCACGCTAAGCATGAACAAATTCTTAAATTCTCTTTGGCGCGACATGGCGCGCGCTGGTTAAAACCGTTAAAAGGCATCAGTCCGAAAACTTAACGTTTTCCTGATGAACGACTAAAGGACAAGTGGGCAACATTTCTTGCAGCTTGTCGTTCAACACTATCGCTTTGCAAGCTGAGCCCGAGTTCTAACATAACATAACTCAACAACGATGCTCAGAACCGGTGAGGAATTAAAAAGAATACTTAAAGCACTTCCAACGAAAAGGTACTTAAAAAAAGTCAAGAAACTTACAACTTGCAACTCTGACACAGATAATTGTGATCATCATTAAAGAAAGAATCTGTCTTGACAAAGACCGCATTTTGAGGGGAAGGTCAGTCAATTTTCCAGAGGTCTATGTTAGCATTTAAGTGATGCGCGACGAAAGAAACTGATTACTTGAGTCGTTCAGTAGTTTCCTGATTATCTACGTCACAATGACTTAAGTAAGACATGACTCGACGTGAGCGAGGAAAACTGCATCCAAGTTAACTGTTTTGAGGAGATTGAAGTTGAGGAGATATTTTTGAGATTTTTAAAACTGGAAGCGCTAGCGTACTTACTTCCTTTGAACTGGGTTATGCACATCTACTCAGTCGACTCAAACACAAACATTGCAAAGCTATCAAGTTCCGAAGACCTTTAAATTGCTCTGAATGTGGTATTTCTCTTAACATCTTAGACTGAATAATCGTATTGAGATATATATGAAGAATCTAGGAAAAGAGTAATTCTAGTTCTGTTTAAGACGAGTGTCGAAAGGTCGCATGGTCGATGAGGTTGGCATATTGCAGACCGTTGATAGCAAAACTTCAGAGAAATTCTCGTCTTTTCATGTGAAGCGGGAGGAAAAAACCCGGGTCAATTTCTCATGTCAGCGATAAATCTTAATATAAGTCATTACTGAGATCATTGAGATCATTTTGAGTTTGACGTACTGGTCGAATCACATTCTTGAGACGGCTAACCTTGGTATGCCAAACGCGAAAACAAATTTCTTAATTCTCTAGAAACATCGGAGTTCCCAGCAGGAACAAACTACTCCAGGAATGTTCACTGGGCAAAGGAAGTTTATAGCCAAAAAGCCTGTTGTTTTTCTTACTTTTCCCGTGATTTCATAATTACACCGCAAAAAGTAGTTTCCCATTTTCAGTTAAAAACTCTTATTTTTAAGAGTAAAACTCTTAAATGGCTGTCCGTGGGTTGAGTCATTCTCTCTTAAGTTGAGGGTGAAAACCCTTAGTCAGGTAGAGTAAAACGATATTACTAGGGTTTATGGCCTTGCCTTGAGCTTAATTAAGGCTGTTAACTAACTTGGTCAACAACTGTTCACCAAATTTAAAAGATCTAAAGATATTTGATCAAGTGTCACTTAATCAAATTTAAGAGAAGAATTTCCTCATTACCCAGGTAAAATGTCAGGCGGGATATAGGCGGGATCCCGGCAATCCCACCCAGGATCCCAGGTGGGAATGGCGGGATCCCGCCTTAGGTGGTGGGATCCCACCTTTCCCACCTGGGATGAAAATTTGATCCCACCTGGGATCCCGCATTTAATGCGGGATTCCTGCATCCCACCCGGGATCTTAGGTGGGACTTATGCATTCTATCCGGGATCCTGGTCGGGATTTACATATCCCACCTGGGATTCTTTATCCCACCCACGAAAATATTGTTTTGCTGTTTTTATTCTTACAAAACATTTTTGTGAGAGTTCCAATACTTATGGATCATCCACACACTCCGCAAATATTTGGCGTGCGGACAAGACAGAGGTGGTCACTGTTCCCTTCGAGAAAATACACCTTTTAAATGACTTCTTCAATTTGCTTTATTTGAAACTCTGATCTGAAAATATTTTTAAAACAAGCCTTGTTAGTAGTGAGAAGTACAAACCGAGTTTCTTTTCATTACTTAATTTCTTAAATGTCCCAATCACTGGACCTCCTAAAAAATATTACTTCTTTATATTTTTTATGCAAAATACAATTCCTTCTTTACATACAAATGAAAAGTACAAGTCACAGTTCAATAATAACAGCTCTAAAGTTTACTTGTTGTTCTTCTCTGAGTCAGCGATCAACAAAATTTTTCTATACCTTGTAGGTCTGGTATAAAATTTTACTTGTAGTATAAAATGACAACCTTGTATCTTCGTCCTCTCCACCCCTTTCCAAGCTCGGGAACGCTTCGGACTGTGCAAAACCATTTGCAGACGAGAATTCCAATGCACCTCTGTAATCGCATGTAGTTGCTTCTGTCTCTCGTGCAAATGTTTTCTCCGTTATGAGACGCACTTGACTCTGTTGGCACCACTGCTAGTTCAGTGGAAAGACTGACTGAGGAATCGAGATGGCTAGCTGTGTTGGAATGTGTTGCTGAACGCTTGTTGTGGTCAAGCCTTGTTGATTTGGTTACTGGTACACTGGGATCATCTAGGTATCTCTTATACTTCCTAATGTGATTGGCTTGTGTTGTTTCTCACCTTAGCCGTGAACATAACTCAAGTGGGTTTCGAGTCTTTCTTTCCTCGAAAACTTTCGGCCACAAATCGTGCGTTCTTGTTTGATTCTTGTCGATTATTTCTACATAGAGTGAACTCACATCATTATTTATGTCATCATCAAAACATGAGAGGAGAACCGGTCAGAAGAGACAGAATAATGTTGCGCGCTTCTCTTGAGACTGCAATGGGTCAAGCCAGCGGATTCTCTTTGCTAAAAGGTCCACGTGATCATGCCCGTGATCGGAAACAAAGAAAACTCCATTTGGCGCTCATATTTGAATGTACTTTTCATCGGTTAACCGCTCTTGCTTGAAGTTGTTTCTTTTCTCAATTCTTTTGCGTAATATAACACTTCTAAAGATGAGTTTTATTGTGGTTCAATGGGAAAATGAGAACAGCGTGAGTGTTTTAAATGAAAAGAAAGTCGTTGGCGCTGTGGAATTAAAAGAAGGGACAATTAACAGTTGACATATCGACTGGTTCAAACAACGATCGAGTGGCCATTTAAAGCTAGGATTTTTAGAAGTTTGTGGTGAGTACAAATTGCCATATTCGTTACGTGATCAGAATCTTATCAAAGAATAGAAATAACGGCTTGGATTAAGCTTACCTAACGCTCAGCGCAACTGAAACTCAAATAATTCTGAGAATCGAATTGGTCACTTGCATGCTGCAGTTTCTTAAGCTTACACTTTACAATGAAATAAATCCATGAGTAAGGTTTCAAGATTACTTTAGTCACATTTGGGAACATTCTGACCTTGCTTTGCTTTGAACAATTCGACTGAAGAGAGAGCAGACTTTCAATCAGTACCTTTGTCAAAATTTTGATAACATGAATTATTGAGGTTTTGTCTTTCTTCTATTCTTTAATACACATCAGCCAATTCTTTTAAACGTGGAGCCTTATTACACTGTAGATGGTCTGCTTAAATGATAAAGAAAAAGTAATATGCTGAATTGTGCTGTTATTATTTAACAATGTTCGGTTAAGAAATTTGTTAATGAAACATATCAAACACATGCTGGTTCATTGCAAATAAATTATGAGATCTTTATCACATATAGTCTGTGTATTCATGTACTGTTTGAATCATTTATGATCAACAGCTTGGTAAGACAATGGGATCCCATTGGAGGTGTCAGTATGTTCTATAGCTAGTTGGAAAGTTTTGGACCCTCAGTGGATTGATGGGGTCTATAGCTCACCTAGTAAATATTTATCCTCTTAATTTTATGGATTAGGTTACAAAAAGAATTGATAAGATATCCTATCTGGTACATTTTATAACTCTGTGGTCTCCAGTGATAAACAGGATCCCTCAAAGGATTTTTCTGAAAGTGGGAAGCCATCTGTAATTTTATGCAGGGTCTAAACTGGGATTGGCAGGATCCCAGATGCAATCCCGCCTGGGATATGATTTCCCAGGTGGGAAACTATCTGAAATTTGAGGCAGGATCCCAAGAGGGATTGGTGGGATTCTAGGTTTAATCCTGCCCGGGATGTGCTTTCCCAGGTGGGATGCTATTAGGAATTTAAGGCGGGATCCCAACTTCAATTGGCGGGATCCCATGTGGGATCCCATGGGGGATGTTCCATAATCCCAGGTGGGATCCCATGCAGGATGTTCCATAATCCCAGGTGGGATCCCATGCGGGATGTTCCATAATCCCAGGTGGGATCCCATGCGGGATGTTCCATAATCCCAGGTGGGATCCCATGCGGGATGTTCCATAATCCCACCCGGGATCCCATGCGGGATGTTCCATAATCCCAGGTGGGATCCCATGCGGGATGTTCCATAATCCCACCCGGGATCCCATGTGGGATGTTCCATAATCCCAGGTGGGATCCCATGCGGGATGTTCCATAATCCCAGGTGGGATCCCATGCGGGATGTTCCATAATCCCACCCGGGATCCCACCTGAAAAAGGCGGGATCCCACCCGGGACACACCTGGGATCCCAGGTGGGATTGGCGGGATCCCACCTTATATTTTAACCTGGGTAAGTAGGCTGTAAACCTAAGTGCAGGAAATAGCCTAGCCCAGATTAAGTGTCACACCCATACAATGATGTGACAATAAGCCTTTGTTAATGGATATATCCCCTAGTTTAAGGGGATACCCCCTTTTTCTAAAGACTATGCACTTCAGTCAAAGGAAGCCCTCTTGTTAAAAAAGGAATGTTTTGTTCATTGCTTGCTAACATTTTGGGAAGTTAAAATGCAAATGTTTGTGATGGTATAAAAAAAGAGGTGAATGCTTCAAAAATCTATTAATCTACAAGGAAAAATCCAAGCAAAATAAAAATTGCACACCATGGAATGAAAAACAACAATTTTTACTTTTGTCTTGAATGATAACAAGACTTACACAGTAATAGTTTTTAAAATTTAAAAAATTCCAAGACTGTCATTTCAACTTTTGGTTGGAACCAACCTCAGCAATCATTATATAAAATTGTACATCTATCATTATGAACATCAAAGGCTCTTGATTAAGCCTATAACTATATCAAGACCAACAATAAGTACAACAACATCAGTTAGGGCTAGTTTACACCTGGTCCAGCAACACTGATTGAATCTGGAGAATAGAGTTCAAACTTAACTTCCAGAATCACCACAACATACTATGTTAGCTCTAAGGCAATAAAAAATTTGGATGATTCCAATCACTACCACTAAATTTGAGCCTCTGATTGCATCTGTGCTGTAAACTAGCTCTACTATAAAACAGCTATATATTTGTATGTATATAATTTAAATTACTTGTGAGTATCTCAAACAATATCAAGTTGATATGAACATAAA